AGACGGACCATCTGCAGGAAGGACTTTTCTCATGGCCTCTCGGAAACTGGAGCATTTAGCGGCCTCGTGATCTGACACGGCACACCACCTTACAGTCTGCCCCGGGGCAGCCAGACACAGCCCTAGGAGAGAGGAGCAGGCAGGGGCTTGGCACGCAACTTTCTCTGCTGGAAGAGGAGGTCAAAGGCAAGCGAAAGGGTCGGCTGGGTGTGTGTGCATGCAGCTGGATTAGCTGCCTAACAGGTGGTCTCAGGGTCTGTGTCTCTGATGGGCTGGGAAGGTGGCTTGTATGCATGAGGCCCTGGGTTCCATTCCTCAGCACCACATAAGCAGAAAAAGCCAGAAGTGGCGCTGTGACTCAAGTCGTAGAGTGCTAGCCTTGAACTGAAGAACTGAAGGACAGCGCCCAGGCCCAGAGTTCAACCCCCCCCCCAACAAAAAATGTTATGTGAGCTGCCACCCTTGGCTCATGCCTGGAATCTAGCTACTCAGGAGGCTGAAATATGGAGGATTGCAGTTCAAGGACAGCCTAGGCAGAAAAGTCCGGGAGATTTCATCTTCTAGCTAACCGGCAAACTGCAGGAATGTGGGTCTGACTGACATGGTAGAGCACTACCATTGAGCAAGCAAGATGAACCAAGAACTAGGCCCCAAGTTCAAGCCCCAGTACATTATGCCAAAAAAAAAAAAATAAAGCCGGAAGCCAGTGGCTCATGCCTGTCATCCTAGCTACTCAGGAGGCTGAGATCTGAGGATCACAGTTCAAAGCCAGCCCAGGCAGGAAAGTCCGTGAGACTCTTTTCTCCAATGAACCACCAGAAAACTGGAAGTGGTGCTGTGGCTCAAGTGGTAGAGCGCTCACCTTGAGCTGAAGAACTGAGGGACAGCACCCAGACCCAGAGTTCAAGCCCTATGACCAACAAAAAAATAAAAAATAAAAATTGAAAAAGCCACACAAAAGGCCCCTCAGACTTTATGTGAAATGGCCTCATCGTTCCTTTTAGCTTTTGTTGCTTTCCAGGTAAGGTCTCATGTCTTGGTTTTTGTTGTTTATTTGCTTTGTTTTGTTTGGTCAGTTCTGGGGCTTGAACTCAGGGCCTGAGCGCTATCCCTGAACTTTTTTTTGCTCAAGGCGTAGTGTTCTACCGCTTTGAGCCACAGCACCACTTCCAGTTTTCTCACTGAGGATAAGATTCTTCCAGACTTTTCCTGCCCAGGCTGGCTTTGAACCTCGATCCTCAGATCTCAGCCTCCTGAGTAGCTAGGATGACAGGCGTGGGGCACCGGGGCCTGGCAGTCTCCTGTTTTTTGATTGGGCAGCTTGAACTACAATCCTTCTACCTCCCTGTAGCTGGGACCACAGGCATGTACTGATACACTCAGCTTGCTAATTAAGTTGGCATCTCATTAATCCTGTTTTTCCAGGGCTGGCCTTTAACTGCAATCCTCCTGATTTGTCTCTACAGAAACTGAGATTACAGGTGTACACCACTGCCACCCCCTCTGCTTTGGTTACTTCTTGTCACTGGCCACCAGCAGAGGTGTGTGTGTGTGTGTGTGTGTGTTCGTGTGTGGGAGCGCACACATGCGCACACATGGATATGTGTGCACAAGAGCGTGCCAGTTTGGGGGCTTGAATTCCGAGCCCGGTGCCGTCCCTGAGCTTTTTTGCTCAAGGCTGGCACTCTTACCACTTAAGCCACAGCTCTGCTTCTCCCTTTTGCTTAATTGGAGATGAGAGTCTCACCGACTACTTCCCTGCTCCTACTGGCCTCAAACCACAAGGAGAGCCCTTGTCCAGCAGCCATGAGGAAGAAAGTATAGGGGGAAGGTCCAAGGGGACAGGGCAACTCCAGCCTCTGGTTAGGAAACAAAGCCCCAGTTGAGCAAAGTTGAACTTTTGCCCAGGGCCTGACTTGACCAGGACAGAAGATAAAAGAACAAACAACACAGCGCCTGTTGGAGAGACTTTGAGAGAGACCACTGGTGTGCACCCTGTGTTTTCTTGCCACTGTAGCTGGACCTCGCTGGACCACCGCTCATGCCTGTGCTCTACCTTCCCAGGCTATCCCAGGCCCGTGGAGCTCACTGTGCACCCCGAGGGGAGATGCTGGGCTGGGAAGGGCTGGCAGCAAAGACCAAGGAGTTGGTCCCTCTGTACAGGGTCCTAAGCTACCCCTCCCCTTCACCTCCATCTAAGGAAGATTTTACACAGGTCTCACAGAACTGCGTCTGCTCAGATCCAACAGTTGATCTTTATATTGGGGGTGGGGGGGGGAGAACGAGGGGCATGTGCCAATATTGGGACTTGAACTCAGGGCCTAGATGTTGTCCTGGAACTTTTGTCCGCTGAAGGGCTAGCACTCTACCACTTGAGCCATGGCTCCACTTCCAGCTTTTTGCTGGTTAATTGGAAGTAAGAGTCTCACGGACTCCCTACTGCCCAGGCTGGCTTTTGAACTGGGATCTTCACATCTCAGCTTCCTGAGTAGCTGGGATTCCGGGCACCTAGGTAACTGGCACATTCTCTAATCCCACCAAGAGCCCAGGATGAAGGATCCTGCCCCCACCCCACCCCAGGTAAAAACACACCCTGTCATGAATGCACAGGGTTTTGTTGTTTTGGTTGGTCGTGGGGCTTGCACTCTGGGCCTGGGCACTCTCCTTGAACTCTTCAGCTCAAGGCGAGCGCTCTACCACTTGAGCCACAGCGCTACTTCCAGTTTTCTGGTGGCTCACTGGAGATAAGAGTCTCGGGGATTTTCCTGCCCCGGCTACCTTTGAACCATGATCCTCAGATCTCAGCCTCCTGAGATGACAGGTGTGAGCCACCAGTGCCCGGCTTGTTTTTGTTCTTTTTAAACTAGAGATGACTTGCCTATGCTAGGAGTTAGGTCTGCCTCATCTAGATTCCTATCTTCACAGCCAGCGGGTGTTAGTTATGTAAAGACAATTTTTACTTAAAAGAACCAGGCTCAGCACCACCCAGAGCCACCCAGCAGTCCCTTAGACAGTGATTGTTCTGTGGGGCTGTGGCCCCTCGGTGAATGACCCTCCAGCACCCAGGTCCCCGATGCACTCACCCAGCACCCCCACACCTAGCAGAGCACAGATTGCCAGCCTCATTATCCTTGGGTCTCCCAGAGCCTGGGTCTCTCCGTCCTCCGCCTGAAGCCTGGCTGGGTCCAGGTGAACAGAACAGAGCTGGATGGCCTTTGTCACCCCTTCCACTCCTGGCCTGGGTCACCAGCCCCAGAGCCCCACCCACTCACCCTTCATCTGCTGGCCCTCAGTCCACCGCTGACAACTACTGCCCCAGAACTGTGACCTGGTCTAGCCTCTCAGGTGCTGGATTTACAGGTTTCCACAACCATGTCTGGCCATTTCTGCTGCCTTCAAAGGGGACGGGTCGGGGCCGCCAGCCAAGGAATGTGTGGGCAGCTCTCAAGTTGGAAGAGGGCAAAGAAAAGAGGCTTTCCTGTGGAGCACAGCTCGGCGGGCATCCTGACTTCAGCCCAGAGAGGCTGAACTCAGGCCTCTGGCCTTCCACACGCCTAGGGGGGCTTTGTGATCATTTGTTGCAGCAGTCCTAGAAAAACAAATGTCTCCCTGGCGTATGTATCAGAGCCGTGTATCATTAAATCTCTCATTCCCAGGGCCTTGAAACTGTACCAAAGTTCTTAGAAGAGACAGACACAGACAGACAGGCAGGAAGACAGGCAGACAGACTGACAGGCAGGCAGACAGACAGGCAGACAGACTGACAGGCAGGCAGACAGACAGGCAGACAGGCAGGCAGGAAGGCAGACAGACTGACAGGCAGACAGACTGACAGGCAGACAGACTGACAGGCAGACAGACTGACAGGCAGGCAGACAGACAGGCAGGCAGACAGACAGGCAGGCAGACAGACAGGCAGGCAGGCAAGACAGGCAGGTAGGCAGGCAGACAGACAGACAGGCAGGCAGACAGACAGACAGGCAGACAGACAGAAAGACAGATAGGCAGGCAGACAGACAGACAGGCAGGCAGGCAGACAGACTGCCAGGCAGACAGACTGACAGACTGCCAGGCAGACAGACAGACAGGCAGGCAGGCAGACTGCCAGGCAGACAGACAGACAGACAGGCAGGTAGACAGACAGGCAGACAGACTGCCAGGCAGACAGGCAGGCAGACAGGTAGGCAGGAAGGCAGACTGACAGGCAGACAGACAGACAGGCAGGCAGGCAGACAGACAGACAGGCAGACAGACAGACAGACGGGCAGGCAGACAGGCAGGCAGGCAGACAGACAGGCAGGCAGACAGACAGGCAGAGAGACTGACAGGCAGACAGACAGGCAGGCAGACAGGCAGGCAGACAGACTGACAGACTGATGACTGGCAGGCAGGCAGACAGGCAGGCAGGCAGACAGACTGACAGACTGATGAGTGACTGACAGACTGATGAGTGACAGACAGACATTGATGACTGACTGACAGACAGACTGATGACTGACTGACAGACAGACTGATGACTGACTGGCGGGCTGCCCCTTGATCCAGCCTGGTTCTCTGCACGTCTCTGTCTTTTCTTTCTCGGTCCGTCCCGGGGCTTGAACTCGGGGCCCGGGCGCTGAGCTGCTTTTGCCCCCGGCAGGCGCTCCACCCCCCGAGCCACAGCGCCACTCCCGGCCTTTTTCTGCGCCTGCGGTGCTGCGGACGCGAACCCCGGGCCTCGCGCAGGCCGGGCGGGCCGCGAAACCCAAGGGACGCTCCCGCCTTCCCGCGCTCCAAGCGGCGGGCTCCGGAAGTCCCGCCCCCCGGGGCCGGAAGCCCCGCCCCGCCGGAAAGGCGGCCCGGGCCTGGCGCGAAAGTCGGTTCTCGGCGCCCGCGCCGCTTCCGGGTCCTCGGGCGACCCGCTCGCTGCGTGTGCGCGGCCCGGGGGCGCCGCCGGGGCGCGGGGGCCGGGGCAGCCTGGCGCCCGACTCCAGCCGCCGTCCTGCGGGCCGCGCGGCCCCCGAGACGCCGCCCGGGGGCCCCCGGCTTCCCCCGAGGTGAGGGCCCGGGCGGGAGGGGCCGAGCCCGGCCTGCCCCCTGTGGGGCGCCGGGGCTGAGGGGTGGGGACGGGCTCGAGACCTCGGCCTCAACCTGGGGGTTGGGCGCGGGGTCACCCAGGCTCGGGGAGGGGTCCAAGATTCAGGCCTCAACTTGGGGGCTGGGGCGTGGGGTCACCCAGGCTTGGGGGGGGTCCAAGATTCAGGCCTCAACCTGGGGGCCTGGCTCGGGGTCACCCAGGCTTGGGGAGGGTCCAAGATTCAGGCCTCAACCTGGGGGTTGGGGTGCGGGGTCACCCAGGCTCGGGGGGGGGTCCAAGATTCAGGCCTCAACTTGGGGGCTGGGCGCGGGGTCACCCAGGCTCAGGGGGGGGTCCTAAGATTCAGGCCTCAACCTGGGGACCAGGCACAGAGGTGGGGTGGGCGAGGTCATCCAGGCTTATTGGGGGCGGGGGGTTCAAGACCTCAGCCTTACTCCTGGGGGTTGGGACATGGGGTCACCCAGGCTTTGGGGGGTTCAAGGCCTCAGCCTTCCCCTGGGGAGCCAGGGCACAGAGGTCATCCAGTCCTGGGGTGGGGGGGTCTTCCAAGCCCTTAGGCATCCTGGGGAGAGTTGGGGCGCAGGGGCACCCAGGCTCTGTAAGGGCAGGGGGAAGATGCGGTCATACTTTTATTTAAAAGGCTGTGCACTTAGGGGTGGGCTGAGGGGGTACTGACATCCACAGATGTTTTGTGTGTTCAACCTAGGGCCACCAAGCCACGCCCATCCACTCCTGCACCCTGGGGTCCTGGGATTTCCACTTCATCCAGACACAATTTTTGTCATTCTTTTTCTTTGACAGTTCAGAAATGTCTAGAAATGGCCAAGAACCGTTTTTTGTGAAGTTTTTAAAGTCGCCAGCCAACTCTGAATGTTTTTTTAAAGCTCTGGAGGTAAGAATAACAATAGTTTAATGCCCTGAATACTTTCTCTTGTTTTTAAGTGGTTTTTGTTGCTTGTTTGTGTAATGGTTGGGCTTTTTGTCTTAGAAATGGACATTCAGACCACTACCAGTGGCTCATACTTCTGAGAGTAAAGGCAGGAGGCCATACAGAGCACACTTGTCACTTGAATCATGCCCCAAGGTTTTTTGTTTTTTGGGTTTTTTTCCTGCTGGTCCTAGGGCTTGAGACTGCTGAGGGGCCTGGGTCCTGTCCCTGAGCTCTTTTTGCTCAAGCCTAATGCTCTCCTATTTGGAGCCACAGCACCACTTCCAGCTCTTTCTGGGATTAATTAGAGATTAGAGTCACACAATTTCCAACTCAGTCCTCAAATCTCAGCCTCCTGGGTAGTTAGGATTACAGGTGTGAGCCAAGTTCTTTTAGAGACAGGTTCTCACTACCTTTTCCCAAGCTGCCTTCACCTTGAAATCTTCCTGCCTCTGCCAGATTGCAGGCCTGTGCTACTTACCATGCCTAACTCCACTAGATTTGTGCTCAATAAAAATGACTAAGCGCTGTATGAAGAATACCTATTTTTCACGAGCGTTGAGTGGGAGGAGACCATTTGGGCATCTTTTGCAGCCGTCTCGGTGTGAGGAGGTTCTTGTTTTCAGTAGGGAAAAGACTGGGTCGAAGATGGATTTTGAAGAGTTGGTAGCACTTAAATGATGGAACTCATTTCTGGTGTGTGTGTGTGTTTTCCAGTCCATAAAAGAATTCCATTCTGAAGAATATCTTCAGATGATCACAGAAGAAGAAGCAATACAGATGAAGAAGAATGACAGATCACTTTATATCTGTGACCCTTTTAGTGGCCCTGTTTTTGAGCATCTTAAAAAGGTTTGCTAACTTCTCATCTGTTCATTAGTTGTTTTTGTTGTTGCTGTTTCGTAGGTTTTTTTTTTTTTTTTTTTTTTTGGTGGGAGGTTGATTTTGCCTCCTAAGTTCCTTATAAGTCCTGAAGTGTTAACTCATATGCTAATACTTGGTGATTCTTCTGGTCTAGAGAGGCCAGAATAATGTTTTGTTTCTTCTTGCTAGTGTCAGCTTTGGAACTTAAGTACATAGGCTTGCTATACTTCTTTGCTTAGCTGGTGCTCTTTCACTTGAGCCACCTCTCCAAGCCTGGCTTTTTGGTGGTTATTTTGGAGATGGAGTCTCACAGACTTTCTTTTTTCCTGGGCTGGTCTTGAATCATGATCTTTCAGATCTCAGTCTCCTGAGTAGCTAGGATTACAGGCATGAGCCATTGGTGCTTGGCAGGGTGTTTTTATTTATTTTTGGTCAGTTGTGGGAGTTGAGCTCTGCTTGGGTCTGGGCGCTGTCCTGAGCTCTTCAGCTCAAGGTAGCACCCTACCACTTAAGCCATAGCGCCTCTTCCGGTTTTCTGGTGGTTCATTGAAGGTAAAAGTCTCACAGACTTTCCCATCCAGGCTGGCTTTGAACCTGGATCCTCAGATCTCAGCCTCCTGAGTAGCTAGGATGACAGGTGTGAGCCACCAGTGCCTGGCTGCAGTGCTGTTTTTAAAAGGCTTTTATTACATGTAGTTTTTGTAGTTAGGGGTAATAAATAAGCTCCACTTGTAAGTGAATGTTATAGTAAAGAAACATTTTAGTATTGAGCTTTACTGTATTGCAAGAGAATAGGGAGGAACGAATAGCGTAGGAAAAGACCTCAGTGTAGTGCTTGCTACCTTCCCATCTTTTCTGTGGAGTGTGGAATTTAGTACCTCTGCCCTGTAGATAGGGTCTGAACATTGGGGGGAAGCGTTGCGCTATGCCAGTGAGCCACCCCCCTTTTTTTGGTTGATTCTAGAGTCCACTGGACTCACTACTTTCTGGTGTCTGGACAAGAGAAAAGCCTTGAAATAAAAAGTGAACTGGTTGTGGCTCCATCTAGATTACAAAAAGGTGACTGACTCTTGTTGGAAGAAGAGCATGGAGGAGTGGACAGATGCCACGTCTGTACTCTTCACGGAAGGGCTGTGCCCACTGTGCCAAGGGCGCTGTTGGTTTTATCTTCCTTTTGGAAATGCCACTGCTTGTCAGAATGGCAGCATCAAATTCTCATCGTCTCATGGCCGAGAGTCCTTTTCTTGTAGGAATCTAAATCAGCCCCATCGGGGTTAACTGTTTAGTTTGGCCTACATAGCTGGAGTGAGGAAAACCTCAGCTAAGGATCAGTGCAAGCGAAGCCCTTTTTATGTTAGGAATTGAACATGCCTGCTAGGTAAAGAGCTCTACCACTGAGCCACACCCCTGATCCTGAAAAAGGCATTTTTTTTTAAAGTTGAGACTACAAATTTGTGGGTCTTCCTTTTACTAAGACGTTGAGGTGAAAGTATTCTGAACCCAAATGAACATATTGTTGAGACCAGTACATCTTTTTGTGTGACATGCTGGGATTCTTTGGGGGGGAGGCGGAGGGGGGAGGAGCTCAGCGTAGTCTCTTTACCTTCCAAGCAGCTCCACTGCTAGTTTCCGTTGAAAATTGTCACCACAGCATTTGATTACTGCGTCAAAGCTACGTTCATGTCAGCAAAGTTTTGATGAGTTTTGCATGAGCGCATCGTGGAGGTTGTTTCTTTTGATGATGATGTGCTGTTTATTTTAGTTTGTTTTGTTTTTTTTGTGTGTGCGTGCGCGCGCTCATTGGTCTTGGGGCTTGAACTCTGGGCCTGGGCGCTGTCCCTCAGCTCTTCAGCTCAAGGTGAGCGCTCTACCACTTGAGCCACAGCACCACTTCCGGTTTTCTGGTGGTTCGTTGGAGATCAGAGTCTCCGGGACTTTTCCTGCCCAGGCTGGCTTTTGAACCATGATCCTCAGATCTCAGCCTCCTGAGTAGCTAGGGTGACAGGCGTGAGCCACTGCCGCCGGGCCTCCCCCTCACATTTTGGCTGGTTTTCTGCATCAGCTTCTGTAAATAACTGTGACCACTACCAAACATAGTCCTGTACAGATCGTGGTCTTCTCCTTTACTTACTAGAACTACTTCTCTTGGTAGCTTGGCTGTCGAATTGTTGGCCCTCAGGTCGTCCTGTTTTGTATGCGCCACCAGCAGTGCGTCCCAAGAGCAGAGCATCCCGTGTACAACATGGTTTTATCTGATGTAACTGTATCTTGTACAAGCCTGGAGAAAGACAAGAGGGTAAGAGTTGGGAAGAAGCTGCCCATTTGTTTAGAGATCTGTTACCACTCGATTTTTTTTTTCACTGTGTAGGAAGTAATGTGAAAGACCCTTGCACAAAGCGTTCATGGGTTAAAGTTTGCATACAATAATCAACAGTGTGTCTTATTTGTAGAAGAACCCGTCTAGTTGAAAATTGGCTAATTGAAACTCAATTTTTCCTCTGCAGTTAGTGAACTTTGTTTTTGAATCACATTTTTTCCAGCCACGATGGTATTTATGCACTCATTCGTTTATTTTTGTAGTGTTCAGAACGGAGCCCAGCCTGGTGCATGCTAGAAAAGCACTACCACTGAGCTATATCCTCTGCCCTTCCTGATTTTGAGATGGGGTCTTGCTAGATAGCTCAGGCTGGTCTTCAACTCACTGTGTAGCATAGGCTGATCTTTGCTATGGTCTTACCTCAACCTCACAAGTGGATAGTCTATAAAAAAAATTCTAAGGCGAGTTATATGAACATTTATCTTTATATATTTAAGATACAAGTTACATATATATACATATATAAACTGTATAGCTCTTTTAGCTTTGTGTATGTGTGTGTTTGTACAGGTACTGGGACTTTGAACTCAAGGCCTGAGCACTATCCCTGAGTTACTTTTACTCAGAGCTAGTGTTCTACCACTTGAGCCACAACTCTGCTTCCAGCTTTTTGATAGTTAATTGGAGATAAAAGAGTCTCACAGTTTTCTACTTAAGCTAGCTTTAAATCTATCCACAGATACCAGCCTCTTGCGAAGCTAGCATTTCAGGTGTAAGCCATTAGCACTCAGCTTAGCTTTCACAGTATTTTAAATAATACAATCTTGCATTTTGCCCCATCTAGCCTGATTCCTGATTCTCTTATATAGTCACATGTCATCTTACCCGCCTGCTGTTGTCTGAAATAATAGTGTGGGTTTGCTTTTTTAAAAAAATCTGAGCTGTCCTTGTCTTACAATCCTTAGATCTTAACCTCCTGAGTAACTAGGATTACAGGTGTGAACCACCATGCCCAGGTTAACTATAACATGTGTATATGCATATATCTTATTGCTATTTTTTGCTTTGTGGTACTAAGGAATTGAACTCAGGGCTTCATGCATGCTAGGCAAGCACTGTACCACTAAGCCACACTCCCAGTCCTATAACTTATATTTTGAAAATACATAGTATGTAAAAATATAATCGCTAGAAGAGCAACGTAGTTGAATAAATTCGTGGCATTGAAAACAGTTATAGTCATTTGTGGCCTAACAGTAACACAGTTGCAGGGAGCGTGTCTTCTAACACAGGCTTAGCTGTCACAAGACCATATAACCTCAGAACACGCTGTTGTACATCATCTTGTCGGTTGACCAGAGCACCGTCTGGGTGTGTTTAGGAAAATGGCTATTTAAAAATTTTAAATCCATGGTCATCTTCCAAAAGGTGATTTAATGAATTATTTAACTTCATGATAATGAGAAACATTTGTCTGTGTTATCAACGACAGAAGAGGCTTGTGGGCTGTTGTGTAAACGTGGAAGAGCCATTGTTTGCTTTGGTATTGACATTCTTTTGGACTACAGGAAGAAGTTCATAAATACGTGCAGATGATGGGCGGACAAGTGTACAGAGACCTCAACATATCAGTAACTCACCTCATTGCTGGAGAAGTGGGAAGCAAAAAGTACTTAGTTGCCGCCAACCTAAAGAAACCTATAATGCTTTCTTCTTGGATAAGAACCCTGTGGGAGAAGTCACAGGAGAAGTAAGACAGGCATTGATGTGTCTTTGAGATTTGAAGAAATGATGCATCCAGTTACTTTGGCAGACTGCGGGTTTTCCTAGGGGAGGCTTTGTGATATGGTCTTTGGGTTTGTTATTCAGACACAGAGATGGATCGTTACTTTTTCTCCACTGGCAACAGAAGAGCAAAAAAAAAAAAAAAAAAGAAATCTCTGAGAGCTCAGTCAGGGTGTGAGTCTACAGGGAAAGGGCCGTAAGCTTAGCGCTAGCTAGCAGGAACGTGCTTTGACCATAAAACTGTCCTCAGTGTAAACACTTGTAAAAACTAATTGAGGAAGTCAGTTTGGCAACTGTGGCTCTACTGTAGCATCATCCTTCAATGCTGTGCCTCTGTGTTGAGATGGAGAATGACAGCCATGGGTAAGCCGTGCTGACCTGTAACAGTGAGCGTTGGTTGGGTAAGATGGAGAGTGAACATCCGCCAGCCATCGGCTGAGGGGCGGGCACCCAGACTGAGAGGACCCTGTGTCCAGTTATCTGGCCTGGGCTAGGCAGCGAGTGTATGTAAAACAAGTTGGCCTCCCTCTCCCTACCTCCTTCCCATCCCCCCCCCCCCCCCCCAACCCCCCCCCCCCCCCCCCCCCCCCCCCCCCCCCGCCCGTCAAGCTTAGAGCATACTTCCAGGCACAGTAGGTTTTCCCTAGAATCCGATTTGCATTCCTAAGTCCAGGCACCATGGCATCCTCAGGGCCTGCACCCTGGCCCCTGCGTACTGTAAGCCCCCACCCCCTTCAGCACTTCTGCAGCCACAGCCAGGGTGGTGGTTTTGTTGGTGTTTTGCCAACACCCACCCCTTTCATTTTACAAAGTCCATTTTATAGAACCTTAGCGTTTTCAATAGATTCAGGTTTCATTCTGGAGCATGTGCCATTTTAACTAGCAGCGGCTGAGATGAATAAGTAGAGATCTCTCTTTCAAGACAATATTTTTGAGAGACTAGCAGAAACACGCCTTAGAGACTTGGTGTTGAGGTGTGGGGACAGTCAGTGCAGTTCCGAATGTGTGCCATCTCCCCTTAAAAACCATGACAAATCCTTACCTGGGGAAAGCAGCAGCGATGTTTCTTTGTCATTGTGTGTGTGGTTCATTCAAGACTGGCCCGTGTAATGCTCTCACTCTTCCTCCTTTTCTCCTCCAGCAAGATAGCTAGGCACACTGAGGTCAACATGGAGGATTTCCGGTGTCCCGTCTTCCTCGGTTGCGTCATCTGCGTGACGGGCTTGGGTGGCGCCGACAGGAAGGAGGTCCAGCAGCTCACCGTGCAGCACGGGGGCCAGTACATGGGGCAGCTGAAAATGAACGAGTGCACACACCTCATAGTCAGAGAACCCAAAGGTAAAACCGGTGCAATGGCAAACCCCCTTCCGATACCAAACCTATTACGCTGTTACGAGACAAGATGTGATGAGCTGGCTTTGCCGTTAGTTTCTCTCCCTTAAAATGTTGGGTTATAGAAGAGCAATTACATGACCCTCCCTCTCCCCTCCTCCCTCTCCCCCCTCTCCAATGTCTGTGTAGGTTGTATTACTATAAACTTGAGCGCTTGGTTCAGGTGTATCTTCAGATGAACTCACCTGCCCAAGCTTGACGATGTCTGCATTTGTCTGTCATTAAACAACAGGACAGAAATACGAGTGCGCCAGGAAGTGGAATGTGCACTGTGTGAGCACGCGGTGGTTTTTTGACAGTGTGGAGAAGGGCTTTTGTCAGGATGAGTCTATGTACAAGGTAGAGCCCGCACCGGCAGCCAGGAGCGGGCCCAACACGTCCACCCCCACCGGCCCTGGCAGCACCTCGGAGAGTAAGTCTCACCCACCCGACTGCCATCGGTTGTCCGTCAGAGTCACATGGTGGGGCGGGAACGTGGTACAGGCACAGAGTGCTTGCCACTCGCTCATGAACGAGACCCTGGACTTCCAGATCCACCGGCACTGGGAGGACCAAAGATTTTTGGTTAATACTGTCATTGAGCTACAGGAAGGAGTGTCTTCCACCAGATCTCTAGATCTCAGCCTCCTGAGTAGCTAGGATGACAGGCATAAGCCACCAGGGCCCAGCAATCAGACAAGTCTTACAACAGGACTATTTTTGTTGTTGTTGTTACTAAGACTTCTTATTTGTGTGTGTATGTGTGTGCACACATCAGTGCCAGTCCTAGTCCTGGGGCTTGAACCTAAGGTCCTGGCCACTTCCAGCCTTTTTTGGGGGTGGGGTGGGGGGAGAGGGTCAATAGTGGGGCTTGAACTCTGGGCCTGGATACTGTCCCTGAGCTCTTCAGCTCAAGGCGAGCGCTCTACCACTTGAGCCATGGCGCCATTTCCAATTTTCTGGTGGTTTATTGGAGATAAGAGTCTCACGGACTTTGCTGCCCAGGTTGGCTTTGAACTGTGATCCTCAGATCTCAGCCTCCTGAGTAGTATAGGTAGGATTATAGGCGTGAGCCACCAGCACCCAGCTCACTTCTAGCTTTTTGGAATCTTCCTTCCTTCCTTCCTTCCTTCCTTCCTTCCTTCCTTCCTTCCTTCCTTCCTTCCTCCCTTCCTCTCTCTCTCTCTCTCTCTTTCTCTCTTTCTTTCTTTCGCCATAGAGCCTGAACTCTGGACACTGTCTCTGAGCTCTTCAGCTCAAGGCGAGCTCACTACCTCTTGAGCCACAGCACCACTTCTAGCTTTTTCTGCATACATGGTGCTGAGGAATCGAACCCAGGGCCTCATGCATGTGAGGCAAGTACTGTATCACTGAACCACCTTCCCAGCCCGCTTCCAGCTTTCTTGATGGTTCAGTGGAGATAGAGTTCCAGGTACTTTTCCTGCCCAGGCTGGCTTCAAACCATGATCCTCAGATCTCAGCTTCCTGAGTAAGTAGGATTATAGGTGTGAACCACTGGCCCACAGCTAGATTTCCATCTTAATAAGATAGGAGACTTAATTTATATTTGTTTCTCGTACTTGGCCACCAAGTTTTCAGTTAAAATAAATTCTGGGGGCTGGGCAGGGGGCTCAGTGGTAGAGTGCTTGCCTAGCATGCAGGACTCAGTACCACATACACAGAAAAAGCTGGAAGTGGATCAATGGCTCAAATGGTAGAGTGCTAGCTTTGAGCAAAAAGCAGCTCACAGATAGTGTCCAGGCCCTGAGTTCAAGCCCCAGGACTGGCAAAAAAAAAAAAAATTCTGGCCAGGCCTCTTGTGCCCTGACCAACAAAAAAGCAGTTTCTGACTCTTTAGGAATAGTTCGTACCCCTTTGGTGGCAAGAAAGGTTAAATTTTATATAAGAAGACTTATTGCCATCTGGCTAGTGTTATCTCCTCGAATTTATTCTTTTCTACTCTATTTTCTGCCTATGTAGTTCAAGCTCTTTCCAACGTCAGCCGCATTTCCAGCGTAAGCGGAAGTTACATCAATGAGTCAGTATGCAGTTCGGCTCTCAGCAGCAAGTTGGACTCCACTGCTGAGAACCTAGACACCCTGGACATCAGTGCCTTTCAGGCCCCTGAGGATTTGTTAGACGGCTGCCGGGTACGTCTCCCATACAGTAAGCGCAGTGGGCCTGAGCCAGCCGACACCCGTCCTGGTGAGGCCTGCTGCTTGTGCGCCCAGACCCTCCGCTAGGTTAACTCCTGCCTGTCTCTTGGCTGGGACACACCTGCTTCTGGTGTCACCTTCAGAGTCCTGTTCCCTCCTCAGCTCCCCTGGGAGCCCTTCCATCACCTTAATCTCCACCCACTGGGCTTCTGAACGACAGGTTAGGGTTGTGTGTGTCAAGTATACCGCATCAATACTGCATTCATCAGCTCGTTCCGTGAAGGGGTTACTTAATATAATCTCTCAATTCCCTCAACTCTAAGATGGAATTGCTTCAAGTCAGTACTTAGAATTGAAATTCTAGCTCAGAGATGTAAGTTGGGACTCCCTCCCCCCCCTCCCCCAGCTCTCTTCCCAGTGGTGAAATTACACAAAGCTGGACTGGAGGCAGGGCTTGAGTAGTAAGAGCATCAGCTGAACAAGTGTATAAGGCCCTGAGTTCAAACCCTGTACCAGCCCAAAAAGAACAATTGGAGCCAGGTACAGTGCTCACACCTGGAATCCCAGCTACTAAGGAGGAATGCAGAAAATGGGGCACGCACCCCTACCTCCCATCTCAATAAATGAGTTGAGTGTGGTGGTTTGAGCTGTTTGGGAGGCGAAGGAGACACGCCCTGGAAAGCAAGACCCTATTTGAAAAATAACCTAACACTAAAAGGTCGTGAGCTGTGTGGTCCAGGTGCCAGAACACTTGCCTACCATGTTCCAGTCCCTGAGTTCAAACCCCAGTACTGCAGAGAGAGAGAAAGAGAGAAGGCTCTCTGTCCTCCTAAAAGTGATCAGCTGGTTGTGGGAAGTGTTCGTGACCTCTGACCCTACACATGACTTAACTCCCCGTCCCAGGGAGGAGATGGATACAGGATTGTGGTCTTTGGTAAAATGTTAGTTATTAGTGGAGATGAGCTAGGTAGCAAGTGCAGTTGGAGGTGGATTTATAATACTTGCATGCCTCAAAGCATAGAGGTGGAAACAGTCCCCGGTAAGTGCATGGGTCCTCATCATTAAGACTGAGTTGTGATAGGTTATTGCACATGTACTGCACTCGGCTCCTTCACCATCTTTGGTGAAAGCAAGGAGTTTTGTGGAGGGGCTGGGAAGGTGGCTCAGTGGTAGAGCGCTTGCCTTGCATGCCTGAGGCCCTGGGTTCGATTTCTCAGCACCACATAAGCAGAAAAAAAAAGTCGGAAGCGACGCTGTGGCTCAAGTGGTAGAGCGCTAGCCTTGAGCTGAAGAGCTGAGGGACAGCGCCCAGGCCCAGAGTTCAGGCCCACGACTGGATCAAAAAAAAAAAAAAGTTTTGTGGGGGTTCGGTCTGTCCTCGTCTCCCCCTCCACAGTATTGGTATTTGAACTCAGGAACTTGAGCTTGCAGGGCAGGTGTTTTGCTGCTTGAGCCACACCTCCAGCCCTTTTTTGCACTGGTTATTTTTGAGATAGGATCTCTGTTTTTCCCCAGTGCCAGTCTGAAGGGAGATCCGCCTATTTCGGGCTTCCAGTCAAAGCTGGAATGACAGACACATGCTCTGTCTGGTAACTTCTCTGTGTTGAGATGCAGGAGCCTTGGCGACTTTCCTTCTTGAGATAGCCTCAAGCTGCATTCTTCCTAATCTCGGCCTCCCAAGTTAACAAACAAGGATTTAAAACAAGTAATAGGACTAGAAATGTGGCTTAGTGGTAGAGTGCTTGCCTAGCATGCATGAAGCCCAGGATTTGATTCCTCAGTACCACACACACAGAAAAGGTTCAGCCGTGCACTGGTGGCTCCCACCTATCATCCTAGTTACGCAGGAGGCTGAGATCTGAGGATCATGGTTCAAAGCCAGCCCGGGCAGGAAAGTCCCTGAGACTCTTCAATGAACCACCAGAGGACAGGGAAGTGGTGCTGTGTCTCAAGTGGTAGAGCGCTAACCTTGAGCAAAAGAGCTCAGGGACAGCGCCCAGGCCCTGAGATCAAGAGCTACAACCAACAAGAGAAAAACAGAAAGGCTGAAAAAAACACTGTGGCTCAAGTGGTAGAGTACTAGCCTTGAGCAAAAGAAACCCAGGCCCTGAGTTCAAGCCCCATAACTACCAAATAAAATAAAACAAGTAATTACAATTTAAGAAGTCACTCAAATGTTAGACATTGCCATGTGCAATTTCATCTATAGTGGTATAGAGAAATAAAAGTCTCATTCAGGATTTGTTCTGTAGAAGCTCTCATTGCACACAACTGACTAGATGGTTCCTATGTATAAAGCGTCTCAGAACCCCGCAGGCAGAAATCATGCAGGATTCTCTAGACAGTCACACGCAGTGAGACCCGAGGACACTGCTGGGGAGGAACACAGGCGCAGCGCCTGTGTGCAGCTGACCACGCAGAACAATGTCCAGATGGACTCCGGGAAGTGGAAATGAGGGGTTTTCTTTGTTGCTGTTTGTGTTTTTCCTTCTTGTGTATCTGTCTTTGAGAGGGCAAAGGGAACACAAATACAGGGACAAAGGGTGAACAAACGGGGCAGTGATACTCACTAGACACTGTTGAAGGTGAACTATGCTAGTAGGTGTATAGGTAGGAGGGAAAACCTGGAAGAGGTTAAGGGAAGGGGTGAACTTGTCCGAAAAGAAATGAACTTGTTACCTGACTTAGGTACATCACCTTTATAATAACAATTGAACAGAATCCATCAGGATCTCATGCTTCTATTTGGGGTGTATTTTCTCCTTGCAGATCTACGTGTGCGGTTTTAGTGGCCGAAAGCTGGACAAACTGAGAAGACTTGTAAACAGCGGAGGTGGCATCCGTTTTAATCAGCTTAGCGAAGATGTAACTCACGTCATCCTGGGAGATTACGATGATGAGTTGAAGCAGTTTTGGAGTAGATCGGCCCACAGGTTCTTGTCGGTTTTAATTGAAAGCGTGTGTCTGTCTGTGTGTGTGCCATGCGCATGCGCGCCACAGGGAGGAACACGGGACGGGGAGGATGGTCTTTGTAGCTCAGAGGAGTAACTGCTGTCGTCATCGTAGGCCTCACGTGGTGGGAGCCAGGTGGCTGCTGGAGTGCTTCAGCAAAGGCTATCTGCTTCCCGAGGAGCCCTACCTGCACACGCGCTACCAGCCCGCAGAGATCGCAGCGGCAGATCAGCCTGAAAGTAAAGCAGCTCCTTCCAACAAGAGCAACGGCGGCTTCTGTGCACCCCACGTCACCCCCCGGGAGGCTCCGGAGCCGGCCGATGAGGAGCTGCTGTCCCAGTACGCCAGCAACGACTCCACAATAGGTGAGGGTGCCCGTGCGCGCGCCCTGCCGGGCGTCTGGAGCTGTGTTCCCTCGCGGTTCTGTGGTGGGCGTGCACCTGTTCTCCGTTTTGGCCCGCTGCGTGCCCTGGCCGAGCCTGTTGTGTTGCATTTGCAGTAGGCACTTGCTGCGGAGCCTCTGGCAGGCGGCAGAAGCCGTTCCTGTGCGCTCGGCAGCCGTGGACATCGCCCCATGCGATCGGATCCCCGAGCTGAGGGAGCCGCTGAAGCCCGTGACCAGCCGTGTGGTGTTTGATAGGTTCGGTCTGTGAAAGCTGTGTGGAGTCACCACACCTGGGCAGCGGAGCGGCACAGACACCCCCGGTGCTGGGCACTGACACCAGAGCCTTCTGCGCGCGCCGCTGGTGTTCTGCCACTGGGCCTTTGCCTCAGCCTTTCTCTTTTTTTTTTGGTCAGTCCTGGGTCTTGTACTCAGGGCCTGGGCATTGTCCCTGAAATTGTTTGGCTCAAGGCTGGTACTCTACCACTTGTGCCACAGCACCAGTTCTGGCGTTTTCTGTGTATTTGGCACGTGGGAATCGAACCCAGGGCTTCATGTGTGCTAGGTGAGCGCTCTACCACTGAGCCACCTTCCCAGCCCTCAGCGTTTCTTTTGTTGTTGTTGTTCTTGAGACAGTATCATTGCACACTTCTGCCTGGGCTGGCCTCAAACTTGGTGGTGGTGGTGGTGGTCGTGGCGCTTGAACTCTGGGTCCGGGCGCTGTCCCTCAGCACTTCAGCTCAGGGCTAGTGCACTACTGCTTGAGCCACAGCACCACTTCTGGTTTTCTAGTGGTCTCTTGGAGATAGGAGTTTCACGGACTTGCCTGCCTGGGCTGGCTTTGAACTGTGATCCTCAGATCTCAGCCTAGCTAGGATTGCAGGCGTGAGCCACCAGCGCTGGGCTGGCCTCAAACTTTGATCCTCCTCCTTCTACCTCCCCATTAGTTGGGATTACCAGCCCATGCCCAGCTCCTCTGTTTCTCTTTTTGAAGATAAAAGATGCTTCTCTATGCATGTACCAGGTTGTCTTTGACTCTCACTTCTCATTTAAAGGGACACAGTGAGGAAGGGATGGTGCATCTTGTCTTGCAGATTTCATCTTTCAGATTTTTCTGAGCTCTCTTCCCCTCCCTCCACCCGCCGCCTCATCAGCCACACCTGTTCATTGAGTTTTTTATTCTAATGATGCTTTAATTCCCAAAGTCCTTTCGGTAGTCTTGCTCTGCAGCCCCACCTTGGACTCACCGCCTCCTTTTTGGGGACGATGGCAGACCTCCCATACACCCGGCCTCCCTCCACACTTGGGAACCTGGGGAAGCGAGGAGGGCATTGGCCACTGCACCCTCCGGCCCAGGTGCACACACCTCGAACAAGGGCCGCCATTTCAGCATCTCTGCTCCCGTGCCGAGTGTCAGGTCAGGGGGAAGCTGGGCCTCTTCTCCATTTCTCCCTCCTTGGCCCTGTTGTGCTATACAAATCCTTGTTAAACTTAAGGAAAAATGTCTAAAAACTTTTTAGATTGAAACATTGAACGTTGCAGTAGCCAGCCCGGCATGGGTGGTGCATGCCTGTCAGCCTAGCTCCTTGGAGGCTGAGATCTGAGGATCGCTGTTGGAGGCCGGCACAGGCAGGAAAGTGGTGTGAGACTCTTATCGCCAGTGAACCACCAGAAAAACATGTGAGGCTGTAGTGGCGTGCCAGCCCAGAGTGCAAGGCTCAGGGATAGGGTCTAGACTGAATATCACACACACAGAAACCTCCCAACACAGCGTGACTAGGGGTTTAGAAACATACTCTCATACCTGCCTGTTTTTGCCTGTTGCATATCAGAGACTATTTTAGTATCATTTATTGTTTTGCACAGATAGATATTTTTTTCTACCGATCAGCAAACACGTATCCTCAAATGAGAGTTGGGATGATTTGCCTATTATTCATCCATTATCCGCTTAAGAAATGTGCATAGCGGCTTAGTAGCTCCACTGCTGTGAGAAACATCTTAGGAATTTTTAGAAAAAAACCCATAACACTCTTTTTGTGGTGGGGGGGCCTGAACGTCTGGGCCTGGGCGCTGTCCCTCAGCTCTTCAGCTCAAGGCCAGAGCTCTACCACTTGAGCCACAGCACCACTTCTGGGTTTTTCTGCTTATGTGGTGCTAAGGAATCGAACCCAGGGCCTCATGCATGCAAGACAAGCACTCTACCACTGAGCCACCTTCCCAGCCTGCATAACATCCTTCTTTCCCTGTTAAAGGTTTGATGGTTTTGTCCCCTAAACTTGTTAATTCTGTCTTCCTGTTTTCTCAATTGTGTCGTGAATGATGTACGTCAAGCTCCTGGAGTCTCGTGGTTTTAGCTAGCTGGGGAGTTTCATGGGGGGGGCTGCTCAGCTGGAATGTGAGGGCTGCAGTCTTTCGTCATGGAGGACAGCATGCCTGGTAACCCCGTCCCTCCTCGCCGTGTGCCTTTCAGCCTTAGTTTTATAAATAGCGGCATTACCAACCCCAGGTTCCCTGTCTATCTCCGCTAGGGAATGAGCAGTAACGGACTCAGCTACACAAACTCTGCTCTCCTCTTTGCAGTTCTACCTAAGGAGCCTGCAGCGTCCTTGGCATGTGAGGCTGGGCCCCGGGACGGCCGCCCTGGCCAGGAGCCCCTGAGCGACTCCACCCACATCTCCCCGCCCCGCGGCCCGTCTCCCGCCAGCCCCTGCGGCCCCGAGGACGCCGCGCTTGGTGAAGAAGGGTTATTCCAACGGAAGACATTCCTGATTTTGGGCTTCAGGGACGAAATCCAGTGCCACATCGCCAACATCGTGAGAGAGTACGCCGGGAAGGTGGTCCCCCTGGGGAGCAGAGCCAAGGCTGACTACACCGTGGTCCCCCTCCTGGGGTGTGACGCGGAAGCCACTGTGGGAGAAGTGGTCACCAACACGTGGCTGGTAAGGAAGGCCCAGCCGGGGGGGGGGGGGGTCACTGCTTCCAGCTTACCCTGGCGTTGGGGTGGGGCGCTTGCCACACTGCTAAACAGAGGACATTTTTTATTTTTTGTTGGTCGTGGGGCCTGAGCTCTGGGCCTGGGCGCTGCCCCTCAGCTCTTCAGCTCAAGGCGAGCCCTCTACCACTTGAGCCACAGCGCCACTTCTGGCCTTTTCTGCTTATGTGGTGCTGAGGAATGAACCCAGGGCCTCATGCATGCAAGGCAAGCGCTCTACCACTGAGCCACCTTCCCAGCCCTTTTTTTTTCTTGGTCTCTGATTGGCTCTATTGTTTCTCTTGTTTCTAAAGGTTACCTGCATAGACTATCAGATTTTAGTTGATCCCAAGTCAAATCCTCTCTTCACACCCGTTCCAGTGGTGGCGGGAGCGGCTCCTCTACACAGCTGTGTCATTTCCTTCAGCCAGTGTGTGGGCGCAGAGAAAGATTCTTTGATATTCTTAGCGAATCACCTTGGAGCAAGGTATGTAGTGCCTTCCGAGCTCCCTGCCGCTGCGTATTTGTCTTGGCTTCGTGGAAAGTGCTGTCATTTACATTTGCTTAGCAATCCTTCTGCACTGTGTGTGGCATGTTCTCTGCCTGTGTGAGGGCCCAGCAGGGTCAGGGGCTGTACTAGAAGCATGCCCGGCAGACAGGACCCGCAGGCATTATGGCTCAGGGGAGGCTGATGGCGAGTGAATGGCGTGTGTAAGCGCTATGCCGAGCGGATGGGTTACATCTCTCTCGGTGTATGTCCATTTGATTCTGCTGTTGTTAGCCAGCAGTGCACATGGTAAGCCGGAGCTTGAACTTGAGGTTTCTTCCAAAATGCACACGACCCAGTCCCCAAGAGATGGTGGGCAATTTAAAAAAAAGGGGGGGGGTGGATACTGTTACATCACTAAATGTGTCAAGGGCTCACGCCTGTCATCACAGCTGCTCAGGAGGCTGAGATCTGACGATCAGGATTTGCAACCAGCTTGGCCAGGAAATCCAGGAAAACCCTGGGGACAGGAAAGACCCTTGTCCCAATTAACCAGCCGAAAGCCAGAAGCAGAGCTGTGATTTCAGTGGTAGAGTGCCAGTCTTGAGTGAAAAAGAAACCTAGTGCCCCGGCCCTGAATTCAAGGACCAACACAAAGAAGAAACAGAAGTACATTTCGATTAGTTTACAAAGTAAAACATAACTACCCTTTCCAGTACAACCAGGAGAGAGCACAATGCAGCCAGGTGCGCCACACCTGCAGTCCTAGCTACTCAGGAAGCTGACATCTAGAGGGTCACAGTTGAGGCTAACTTTTGCATAACTGTTTCTTTAGACTCATTAAAAAGCTGGGCTGGAAGCATGGCTCATATGGTAAGAGTGCCAGCCTAGCAAGCACAAGGCCCTGCGTTCAACCCCACTGCTGCCAAAACAGCAAGAGGAAAGTGAAGGACAGGGTGCTGGTGGCTCACGCCTGTCATCCTAGCTACTCAGGAGGCTGAGAGCTGAGGATCGCAGTTCAAAGCCAGCCCGGGCAGGAGAGTCCGTGAGACTCTGATCTCCAACGAACCACCAGAAAAGTGGAAGTGGCACTGTGGCTCAAGTGGTAGAGTGCTGGCCTTGAGCTGAAGAGCTGAGGGACAGCGCCCAGGCCCAGAGTTCAAGCCTCATGACCGACCAAAAAGAAAAAGAGAAGCTCACTTTTAGTTGGCTGAATAATTGTCTGTGTCATGATTTGCTTTTCTTTCCCTACAAATTCCAGCGTTCAGGAATACTTCGTTCGCAAGCCGAATGCGAAGAAAGGCATGCTCGCCAGCACGCACCTCGTGCTGAAGGAACCGGTGGGTTCTAAGTACGAGGCTTCCAAGAAGTGGAGTTTACCAGCCGTCACCATCGCTTGGCTGCTGGAGTCCGCTAGGACGGGACAGAGAGCGGAGGAAAGCCGATTTCTGATCGCCAGTCTGCCCAGAGAAGGTTCACCATCTGCGTTTATTTCTTCTCTTCCTCTGCTGCTGCGTGGCTTGTTGAGGAGAGGTGGTTGGTTTCTGCGTTCCCCACTGGTGGCAGTGAACCAGATGCACTGTCGGCCGTGGGCCACAAGAGGGCAGCCGAGGGGCGTTGTTTGGGTGTTACTGTGAGCTGGAATGTGGGCTGGGGGCATTGAGCCTGTGTCGCACCTCCGTGGATTCCCGTGTGGCTTATAGTGACGCGCTGGGCTTGCGTGTCTCCTCAGGGTGCCACACGCTCGCCTGTCCTCCTGGCCTCTGCTCCATGGGGCTCTTGGCTAGGGAACTTGACTGTAGTTAGCTTGAGCACACGTAATGCCTGAGGAAGCTGGGTACCGGCGCTTCACAGCTGAATCCCAGCGGCTTAGTAGGCTGAGATATGAGGATCACCATTGGAAGGAGACTTAAAGCCTCCGGTTACCCTGCAAGGAGCAGGAAGTGGCGTGTAGCTTAGGTGCTAGAGAGCTAGCTGGGAGGGAAAAGGCTAAGCAAGAGCTGTCGGCCCTGAGTTCAAGTCCCAGTATCACACGTGCTTGCTCTCGCACCTCCGAGGGGAAGAGGTAAATGGCGAGTGGCTCATCGGTTTCTTTTCATTTAACATCTCCAGAGCACAGCTTGGCAAATGGACTCGCCAACGGCGTGCCTTGTGCGGCCCAGCCTGGCGCGGCAGCAGTGGCGGGGCCCCGCGGGAAACCCGCCGTGTCTCCCTTGGACATGAACCGCTTCCAGAGCAAGGCGTTCCAGGCGGTGATGCTGCAGCACGCCGGCCCGGCCCCGGCCCCGGCCCCGGCCGCGGCCTCCCCGCCCGGGGCACAGCGGCTGCAGAAGGAGCCGTCCCTGCACCTGGACACGCCCTCCAAGTTCCTCTCCAAGGACAAGCTCTTCAAGCCTGCCTTTGACGTGAAGGTAAGGGGTACAGCAGTTAGGACCCCCGCCCTCTGCCCGCCTGCCCTGAGCTAGAGCCTGCGCGGGGGCGCGCTTCCCACCCGGCATCCCAGGTCAGCCTCACGCGTCCTAGAATCCAGGCACATCCCCGGCTGTCCCCAGGATAGAGGCGAAACTGCTCCAGAGTAGCTGCAGAGGGTGACATGAGCTGTCCGTGGGCCCGGCGTCAGCCTGGGCAGGGAATGGCCATGAGAAGAGGTGCTCCGGCCCACAGTGCCAGAGCGCCAGCCTTGACTAGAGAAGCGCAGGGCAGCGCCCAGACCCGAGTTCAAGGCCCAGGACCGGCAAAAAAGAAAAAAAACACATTTTGCTTGGTTGCTTTGTGGGAAGCTGGTAGAGGTTAAAGTTTTTTTTTGTTTGTTTGTTTTGTTGTTGTCGGTCGTGGGGCTTGAACTCTGGGCCTGGGCGCTGTCCCTCAGCTCTTCAGCTCAAGGCGAGCGCTCTACCACTTGAGCCACAGCGCCACTTCCAGTGTTTTTTTTTTTGTCGGTCGTGGGGTTTGAACTCTGGGCCTGGGCACTGTCCCTCAGCTCTTCAGTTCAAGGCGAGCGCTCTACCACTTGAGCTACAGCGCCACTTCCGGTTTTCTGGTGGTTTATTGGAGATAGGAGTCTCACGGTCTCTCCTGCCCGGGCTGGCTTTGAACTGCGATCCTCAGATCTCAGCCTCCTGAGTAGCTAGGATGACAGGCGTGAGCCACCAGCGCCAGGCTAACTTCCAGTTTTTTGATGGTTCGTTGGAGATAAGAGTCTCATGGACTTTTCCTGCCCAGGCTGGCTTTGAACCACAGTCATCAGCTCTCAGCCTCCTGAGTAGCTAGGATGACAGGCCGGAGCCACCAGCGCCTGGCTGCTGTTACCCTTTAATTCTGAGGTGTCCTCCCCACTTCTTTTTACCTCTCCGTCCTCCTTTTCCGTTTGCTTCTCTTCGCCTTTCTCCTTTCCTCTTTCCTCTTCTCCTCTTCCTCTCTCCTCTCTCCTCCCTCTCCCCTTTGGGCACAGGATGCACTGGCAGTTCTGGAAACCCCGGGAGGCCCTAGCCAACACACAAGGAAGCTGAGCACCCCGCTGTCGGAGGTCATCGTCAGGAGCCTGAAGCTCGCTTTGGCAAACAGCTCTCGGAGTGCTGCTCCGTGCGCCAGCCCTCCGCTCAAGGCCGCCCGCGCAGAGGAGGTAGGCTGCGTTGTCTTCGGAGGCGCGAGCTTTGCCCTAAAACCTCGTCAGCACAGCTGGCTGACGCGTTTCTCCTCTGTCTGTCCAGGAAGAGGCCGCCAAGCCGCTTGCCGGCGTGGTGGTGTGCGTCAGCAAGAAGCTGGGCAAGAAGCAGAGCGAGCTGAACGGGCTGGCCGCCTCCCTCGGGGCGGATTACAGGTACCCGCACACCTGCCCATTCTGCGCCCACCACCCCAAATCCACGTGGGCTTGAGTCCACCGCGGCCTTGCTGTGCAGGCCGGGATGGCAGCACAACTCCTCATGGTGGCCCAGCATCTCTGCACTGCCCAGCTTTTCCGCTTAGGGCTGGCACTCTACCATCTGAGCCACATCTCCAGCCCAGCCTTTTGGGGTTAATTTGAAATGGAATCTCAAGATTTTTCTATCCCATGTGGTGGCTCACGCCTGTCATCCCAGCTACTCAGGGGGCTGAGATCTGAGGATGGCGGTTCAAAGCCAGCCTGGGCAGGAAAGTCCATATCTCCAATTAATCACAGAAAAGGCCAGAAGTGGCGCTGTGGTGGTGCCTTCCTTGAGCTGCAGAGCTGAGGGACAGCCCCAGGCCCTGAGTTCAAGACCCACGACCAGCTTAAAAAAAATTTTTTTTTTTTTTTGAAAACCCTAGCTGGCTTTTCACCCGTGATCTTCTGGATCTCGGCTTCCTCAGTAACTAGAATCCCAGCCAGCACTGCCCCAGCGGAGCATGGATCCTGAGGTCCAGTCTGGTCTGTCAGCCACTGACTGTCCTCCGACAGGCTCCTTCACCATGCTCTCTCTAGTCTCCTTACCTATCACACACACATAATGATGCCTCCTTACCTATCACACACACATAATGATGTCCGTATTTTGAGATTCTGCTTGTTTCAGTGAGGAGTGAATGAGAGATTGAGTTCAGGGTGTATTGTTGCATCTGGAGGACAACAACTGGAGGACAGATTTAGGAGGCAGATTTAGGAATTTGTCCATGTTTCACTAACCAGAAAGTACTTTTTTTTTTTTTGCTGGTTCTGGAGCTTGAACTCAGGGCCTGGGCGCTGTCCCCGAGCCTCTTGGTGCTGAAGGCCAGCGCTCTACCACTTGAGCCACAGCACCATTTCTGGCTTTTTCTGTGTCTGTGGTACTGAGGAATCAAACCCAGGGCCTCAGGCATGCAAGGCAAGCGCTCTACCACTGAGCCACCTTCCCAGCCCCGGAAAGTACATTTAGAAGTGCCTTCCTTCTTAACCCTCTCCTGGCCTTGCATTCCGGGAGCCAGAGCCGTGAGGGATGCAGGCATGCCGTGCCGGGCCGGGCCTGCCACGCGAATCACGCGCATGATCATCTCTGGGGGAAGTTTTGTGGGGGTCAGTGTTCTTGTCTGCGTATTGGGGGGTTCTGAACTAACATGGCCCCATTCTCACCCCCCTCCCCAATCTCGCTTCCCGTGGCCGCCACAGGTGGAGTTTTGATGAGACCGTGACTCACTTCATCTATCAAGGCCGCGCGAACGACACAAATCGCGAGTTCAAGTCTGCGCGAGAGCGGGGCGTGCACGTGGTCTCGGAGCACTGGCTTCTCGAGGTGGGGGCGCTTCTCCCTCCTTCCTCCATTCCTGGGAGACAGGCTCTGACATTTAGAGCACAAAGTAGCCTCAGTGCGCGTGTGCGCACATGCACGCACGTGGAGGCGAGCTGGGTGGTCAGCAGGGTCAGCGCTCGCTCTCTGTGCAGACAGGGCCGGGGCCACTGCTCCCCTCCATCGCTCACCCTGCTTCTCACCCAGATCCTTCCGGCACTCTCCCGTTTCCGTTTTCCTTGTTTAGGTGGTACTGGGCATTGAACTCAGGCCTGGGCCTTGGCTTATTAGGCAGGTATTCGTTCACTCGCGCCATGCTTCCCCTGCTCTTTGTAGTTAGTTATTAATCACGGCGTGAGTGAGGCTGGGCGGAGTGGCTGTAAACCCAGCTACTTGTGAGGCCGAGACCAGGATCGGAGTTCAAGGCCAGACCGAGCAAAAAATGTAGCGAGACCTCATTTCAACCAGTGACTGGGCATGGTGTGTTGCACCTGTCACCCCGGTGCTTCACGAGGTGTCAATGCAAGGGACCTGGTCCCGCCCAGCACAGGCAAAAAGGAGACACCCTATTGGAAAAAGAAAGTCCGGGCGGTTCAGGCGGGGACGGGGGGGGGAGTGCCCTCCTCGCGCTTGCTGAGCTCCAGCCTCTAAGGCCGCGGTGGATGCGTAAGTGGAGCCGCCGCTCCCCCGTGGTGCGGCCAGTTGTGTTTGTGGGACCCCTGCGTGTGCCACTATACTGTTGCCTTGCAGTGTGCCCGAGAGGGCAGGCGGCTCCCCGAGTCCCTGTACCCGCACACCTACAACCCCAAGATGAGCCTGAACATCGGCGCCCTCCAGGACAGCAGGCCGTGCGCCGGCCGCGCGCCCTCAGCCGCACGTGCAGCCCAGCAGGACGCGGTGAGAGCCGGGGCCAAGGCCGCACCCCGCACCCTGCACCCCTGAACCCCGCACCACGGGCTCACCCGCTGCGGGCCTCCCACGAGCACTCGCTGAGAATGCGTCCTCCCTCAACAGCCAGACTGCTCTCCTGAGGACGACGACCACGCGGACCCCGGGACCGCCACCGACGACGAGCCGGCCCCGGCGAGCGACAGCGCAGACGAGAAAGGAGGTAGAGCATTGGCCAGAACATTTGAGTAATTTTTTGGGGTTTTTTTGGGCGGGGGGTCCAGTCGTGGGGCTTGAACTCTGGGCCTGGGCGCTGTCCCTCAGCTCTTCAGCTCACGGCTAGTGCTCTACCACTGGAGCCACAGCGCCACTTCGATTGTCTGGTGGTTCGTTGGAGATCAGAGTCTCACTGACTCCTGCCCGGGCTGGCTTTGAACCGTGGATCCTCAGATCCCAGCTAGGATGACAGGTGTGAGCCGCTGGTACCTGGCTGGCCTCTTAACTCTTGACCTTAACCTGGGCTGAAGTCCCTTCCCCTGGTGTCTGTCTGTGTCTGTGTGTCTGTTTCAAGCCCTGACGCAGACTCTGGAGATGCGAGAGACCTTCCAGCGGCAGCTGCAGGAGATCATGTCCGCCACCTCCCTGGTGAAGCCGCCGGCGCCCCGCCCCGCCCTCGCGCCCAGCGGCTGCCCCAGCACCGCCTCCACCCCTGACAACCTGCGCGCCGTGCGCAGCAGCCGCAGCCGCGTCCTGGAGGCGCTCAGGTGCGCACCTGTCACGGGCCGGGACGGGTGGCCCGAGAGAAGGAAGCGAGCAGCCCCGTGCCGTGGCGTGGACGCTTGAGGCGTCACAGTCCCAGGAAGGGTTAGGTTCTTGGGGGTTTGAAGCCAGCCCAAGCAGGAAAGCCCGTGAGACTTTTTTCCAGACCTCCGGGCCTGCTCACCCTCCCTGACCTCGGTGCCCAAGGCCGTTGCTCTGTCACCGGGCCCCAGCTCCATTTCCTGCTTTTGTGGGTAATTGGAGTTAGTGAAGTCTTATGCCACAATCATCAGATCTCAGCCTCCTGAGCGTTAGCTAGGAGCCATCGGCAGCCAGCTCGAGAGATTATTCACCAGCAAAAGGCAGGAAACGGCGCTGTGGCTCAAGGGGTAGAGCGCTCGCCTTGAGCTGAAGAGCTGAGGGACAGCGCCCAGGCCCAGAGTTCAAGCCCCACAACCGACCAAAAGTAAAAAAACAGTATGCCTAGTTCCCCGTGCGTGCCCACCTCCCCGCCAGCCCGGACAAGGGTGTGCCCCGCCGTCCGTCACACGTGATTCTCAGCCATTCCCCTCATTCCTCAGGCAGTCTCGACAGAGCGAGCCTGACGTCAACACAGAGCCCTCCCAGAGCGAGCAGATCATCTGGGATGACCCCACGGCCCGGGAGGAGCGCGCGCGGCTGGCCAGCAGCCGGCAGTGGCCCGGCTGCCCCACGCCGCGCCCCGAGCCTCGTGTGGACCTCAATGGGTTGGCGGACCCGGCTGTGTGGGAGCCTGTGCGTGACGCGGACGGGACCGAGCAGGGTAATGAGGAAGGGAAGGCCACGCTTGCTGCTGGCAGTGGGTGATGGTGATCTTGTCACGATCTGATCGTGATCTGAAGTGCTCAATCCATCACTTGGAAATAGGTTTTGGTTTTACATTTGGAAATGTAGGGGTGTGTGTGTGTTGTGTGTGTGTATTGTGTGTGTGTGGACATGGTTTTTCTCAGTGACAGTTAATCTTTTTTTCTTTTTTCTCTTTTATTAACTTGTTCTGATTGCTGCCCAGTGCCTACTTGTGATTGCTCTTTGTGCTGTTTTGAGTTTGCCTGTTTGCACGGAGCTGTGGTTCAAGTGGTAGAGCACCAGCCCTGAGCAAAAAAGAATTCCGGGTTTGTCTCTTCTCTTCCTCGTGCTCTTTGATGCAAGAACACGGTGCCAAGCAGACAGACCAGCGGCCGCCCCGGGCTCTCCCCGGGCCGGCACGGCTGATCAGTTGCAGTTACACTGCCGAGCTGCCTGCTTTACTTCTTGGACCAGCGTGTTCTCCCCCATCTGTGGGCAGCATCACACCCAGCCTTTTGTCTCCCTCAGCTGTCTGCGACCCCGGATACACCTCTGTGATCGAAGCCCCGGGACCTGTGATCTCCGACGAAGTGGAGTTCCCAACAAAAGCCAAACGTGAGGATCACCTGATCCCAACGCCTCAGGCCCCCAGCATTGCCTTCCCCCTGGCTCACCCTCCTGTGGCTCCACGCCCTAAAGAACAGGTTGGTTTGGCCGGCGCCCGCGGCTCTCGCCTGTCACCCTCGCTACTCAGGAGGCTGACATCTATGGATCGCGGTTCAAAGCCAGCCTGGGCGGTCCTGGAAACCTGCCGAACGAAAGTGGAGCTGTGTCTCAATGGTGGTAGAGCAGTCTTGAGCAGAAGCGCTTGGGGATGGTGCCCAAGCCCCAAGTTGAAGGTCCAGGACCTGCGCGCGCGTGCACGCACACACATATATACACACACATACAAAAGCTGTACACACTGGTGGTAGGCCTTCGTCATCATGGTTATGTTGTAGAAATGGGTTGTTGTCCAAGCAGATGATGAAAAACACACATTTCTTAGCGTTGTCTGTCAATTGGTTATTCCAAAGATTGGGCAAAATGTCACTGACAGATGCCTGCACCTGCCCTCGTGCAATGCCCATTGAGAGCAGCTCCTCTGTTGCAGATCCTAACGCTGGAGGAGACGCGTGGCGATCTCAGGAAGCAGTACATATTCCAGCTGTCCTCCCTCAACCCCCAGGAGCGCATCGATTATTACCATCTCATTGAAGAGCTAGGTACTGGGGTTTGTTTCATTGCTCACGTGTCATCGTGAGCACGTTTGGAAAGCAGAGGGCAGCGCGTGAGGCTGCGAGTGTCACGCTTGGGTCCTGCCCTGGATGGATGGCAGAGGTCAGAGGTAGTCAGGCCGAGGCAGCCGCCCTGCTGGTACTGGGCCTATGATGTGGTAACTCGGGGTCCTGAGGTCTAGGATTTGATTAGACCTGCTACGTGCACTCTGCAGGCAGCATACCCAGATGCTTTGGTGAAGTGGGGTGTGTGTGTGTTTTGGACTGGTTTTCAGGTTCTAGTAACGTGGTTGTACAGTGAGATGGTGCTGGAGTCCCATGGGCCTTCCAGTCTGGGCTGGCCGGGGCAGGAGGAGCTTGAGTTCCAGTGCAGTCTAAGCGGGAGGGGGGGGGTGCTCAGTGGTTAGCACATCTGCCTGAGGCCCTGGGTTCCATCCCCATCCCTACAGAAAAGGTGAGAAGACAGAGGGCGAGAGAATGGCCTTGTGCCGAGAGGGTTCTTTTATTATAATGCTCCACGCAGACAGAACCCCACTACGATTCCCTGCACGTAGCGTTTGGGGGCGCTGCTGCACGCGTTGTCTGCAGTGGGGAGCTGAGCTGACGCCCCCTCCCCCCCCCAGGCGGGTCGGTGATCGAGAAGCAGTGCTTCGACCCCAGCTGCACACACATCGTCGTGGGGCACCCGCTGCGCAACGAGAAGTTCCTGGCGTCCGTGGCCGCGGGCAAGTGGGTTGTGCACCGCTCCTTCATGGAAGCGTGCCGCGCCGCGGGCCGCTTCGTGCCGGTGAGCCGCGCCCCGCGCCCCGCGCCTCGCCCGCTCGCCCTCCATTGCTCCCTGCCCCTCTCCCCCTGTCTCAGCCACCTCGTTCCGGCCTCCTCCTCCCTCTTCCTGTCTCGCCTTTCCTTTTCTCTTCTCTCCCCGCCGCCGACTGCCTCTCTAGGTTCTTGGTGGCAGAGCTGCGTGAGGACGCAGCGGGGCTCGGGTGTCTTCGCTGTTTGGGGTGTCGGCAGCGCGCGCCTGTCCTCGGGTCTTCACACAGAGCCGGGTGGACGTGGCTGTGCGGCGCCGCTCCGCGCCACAAACCCGCCAGCCGCGTGCGGTGTCTTCCCCTGCAGGAGGAAGACTACGAGTGGGGGAGCAGCTCCATCCTGGAGGCGCTGGGCAGCGCGTCCGAGCAGCAGCGGAGGCTCGCGCGCGCCGCCGTGCGGTGGCGGAAAACCATCCAGGAGCGGCAGCAGGCGGGCGGCGCCGAGGTACGCAGCGGCCCCTCCCTTAGCTTGCGCCGGAGCCTGCGCCACCCGCTTCCCCGTGACTTCCAGGCTGTTTCCTGCGCAGGGGGCATTCAGCGGGTGGAAGGTCATCTTGCACGTGGAGCAGTCCCGAGAGGCGGGGTTCAAGCGCCTTCTCCAGTCGGGAGGAGCCAAGGTGAGGGTCTCCCCCCAGCTCCGTCCACCCCCGCCCCGCCGTGTCTCCACACGGGTCCCTTGTCGCCATTGTCCCCTCCTGCTGCTCACTAGGTGCTGTCCGGCCACGCCGCGTCTCTGTTTAAAGAGGCCACGCATCTCTTCTCTGACCTGCACAAGCGGAAGGCCGAGGGCTCGGGCGTCGACGTGGCGGAGGCCGCCGCCCAGGCCGTGCGCTGCTTGCGCACCGAGTACATCGCCGACTATCTCATGCAGGTGGGTCCCGCCGGCTCGAGGCTCGACACCCGCAGACACGGCCAGCTGGGGCCTGAGTCTCTCCCAGAACCCAAGCAGCTTCTAAAAGCTCAGGTCACTGAAGGTTCTAGACACTTACCCAGGAGAGCAGGGACGGCCCCCTGGTGGCAGGACGTGGAACCTCAGAGAAAGGGCAGCGCCTGCGGCTCGGGGGACCTTCGCGCCCTTCGTTTTCCTGAGCGTTGTGTAACGGTCAGCCCGGGAAGCCTGGGGTTGATAGGTGCTTCGTTGGGTTCTGAGGAAGGGACTCCGGGCTCAGGGCCTGGCACGTGTGGCTCACCGGCCGTGGTAGCCCCGACCTCAGCTCAGGTGTCCAGTGTGGATGTGGGGCCTCACGCTTCCCGTCTGTCTCCCCACGTCGGGCTCATCAACCGAGCACTCGGGGAGACAAGATCCCCTCGGATTTGCTTACTGTCCACTGCTGGATACTGGAAATGGCTGGGAAGGAGACAGAAGCTGTTGGGTTTTGGCCTTAAAGTTTCATGACATAAGATTTGGTCTGAAACTGTGGAACGGGATGGAACGGTCGGTGACTATCGGTGGCCTCCGCTGAGGCGCCACCAGAGCCCAACCCAGCGCCTGCCAAGAGTGGACCTGCCAGGACCTAGGAAGAAAACTTCAAGTTTTTGTTTTTTCCAGTCCTGGGTCCTGGGTCTTGGGGCTTGGACTCTGGGCCTGGCCACTGCCCCTGAGCTTCATTTTGCTCAAGGCGAGCGCTCTACCCCTGAGCCACCTTCCCAGCCCTCTGAAATTAGTGTAGCCAGGCGCCAGTGGTTCACATCTGCATCTATAATCCTGGCTACCAATGCAGCTGAGATCTGAAGACCAAGGTGCAAAGCCAGCCTAGACAAATCTAAGAAACCATTTCCAACTACCTATCAAAAAGCTGGAGGTGGAGGCATGGTTCAACGGTAGAGCACCAGCCTTGGATGGAAAAGCCAAGGTCCCAGGACTGCCATCATACACACTTTTCACTTCCCTTTGCAGGAGTCCCCTCCTTGTATAGCAAACTACTGCCTCCCAGAAGCCGTCCCCTTCCTGCAGAATAAGGAACCTGCAGCATCGCAGAAGAGGAAAGCTGCCGAGGTGGTGGAGAAAAGCAAGGTGAAGCGACCTCGCTAGACAGGGCCCCGTGACCAGACATCCAAGAAAGCCTCTGTATTATATATATATGTGTGTATGTATATTAACTACCACGATGGATGGATTTGTGTAGTATAATGATAGAAGTTTCAGTCGCCTTAATAAAGTTACAAAGCAGAGGCTGGAGGTGAGTGAAGCTTATTGCTGTGTGTAGCCCACGCCTGTCTCTCCCTGAGCCCAGCCCATGAAGCTGAAAACCTTTCCTTTCCCCCCCCCCCTTCCCAGCAGAGGGTATTGCTCAAGGAAGGAGGAAGGATCTAGGGGCATGCGCTCAGCTCCACCTAGCGGTGGAACAGCACTTGCAGCTTCCTGCTTACGTCAGGGACAGGGATTTAAGGAGCCTTCCTTAAGAGAACCCCACAAAGAGCTGGGAAGGAGAGCTGGGAAGGTAGCTCAGTGGCTCAGTGGCAGAGTGCTTGCCTTGCATGCACGAGGCCCTGGGTTCGATTCCTAAGCACCACATAAATTTAAAAAAAAAAAATCCAGAAGTGGTGCTGTAACAACCGGTAGAGCGCTAGCCTTGAGCTGAAGAGCTGAGGGACAGTGCTTGGGGCCACTGGCGGAGGCCCTGGGCTCGATTCTTCAGCACCACACAACCAATGGGCTTTCCTGGTGTGCTGGGTGCTTGCAAGCATGAGGCTTGCAAGCATGAGGCCCTTTGGGCACCACATAAGCAGAAAAAGCTGCAAGGGGCAGGAAGTGGCATGTTAGTAGCTTCTACTCACCTGGGCAGGTACTGCTTGTGGCACGCTCCCACAAAGGTTCCATCCTGTGTTCACATCAACTCCAGATCTCATTTGGGCTGTAATTTCAAGAAGCTTAAACTACGTTAGCTCTCTGAGTGGCCACAACTGCCCAAGAGAAGGCAATGCTTCCCTGTGAGCCAGGCACCAGTGGCTCACGCCTGTCATCCTAGCTACTCAGGAGGCTGAGCTCTGAGGATCACGGTTCAAAGAAAAGATCACGCTCCAGTAAAACAACCCTGTCATCCTAGCTACTCAGGAGGCTGAGATCTGAGATCTGAGGATCACGGTTCAAAGAAAAGATCACTGGCCACAGAAACGCACCTGCTCACAGGACTTCCTAACCTCCACAATCCTTCACTTCACACTCAGCCTCAGCTCTCCACTCCTACCCCACTCCACCTCCTGCTGCCCGCCCGCCACATTCACAATCTAACAAGGCTTTTAATGTACCTGCAGCCGCTAGCGCCCACACCAGGTGCTAGTGCACCTGGGCTTTCTCTTGGGCTTTCTCTTGGCAGAATGAACAGCATTCAGACCCAGAGTTAATTCAAGCCCCAGGAGCTGCCCCAAATAAAAACAGGCTGAGATCAGAGGTTCAGTTCAGACACACACACACACACACACACACACACACACACACACACACACACACACACACACACACACACACACACACACGCTTCAGCACACACACACACACACACACACACACACACACACACACACACACACACACACACACACACACACACACACACACACACACACACACACACACACACACGCTTCAGGAGCTGCCCCAAATAAAAGCAGGCTGAGATCAGAGTCAGTTTAAAGCAAATGCTAGGAAGGTGGTTCAGTGGTACAGCACTTGCCTTGCATGCATGAGGCCCTGGGTTCGATTCCTCAGCACCATATAAGCAAAAAGAAAAAACCCGGAAGTGGCGCTGTGGCTCAAGTGGTAGAGCGCTCGCCTTGAGCTGAAGAGCTGAGGGACAGCGCCCAGGCCCAGAGTTCAGCCCCATGACCGGACACCCCCCCCCCCAAAATAAAAAGGCCAGAAGTGGCGCTGTGGCTCAAGCGGTAGAGTGCCAGTCTTGAGCAAAAGCAGCAGCTCAGGGATAGTGCCCAGGCCCTGAGTTCAAGCCCAGGACTGGCAAAAAAGGTGTTTTTTTTTTTCTAAAGCAGTTAGCACATGACTAGAATCTACAAGGAAGGTCAACAAATTGGCCAACAAGCACATGCAAAGATGCTCAACATTACTAGTCATTAGAGGAAAGCAAATCACATTCAGAAACGCAATCGCCATTGTACGTGGCGCCCCAGGAAGACACGCTCACACCGAGCAGACAGGACACCGACTGCCACCATCGTATCCGTTACTTTATTGAATTTGTTAAGGGTACAGAGTTCTTGCACTGCCAAACCATGCCTGAGAATCCAAAGAAAGAAATGGTACAGGGCTGGCCCCCCCCACACCGCCGCCCACCGCGGACAGCCCGCCCACACCCTACAGGGGACTCCGCTCTATCCGCGTGCATCCGCATCACTTCAGCATCTTCTAGAAGACAGGACGAGGGCTGGGACTCAACTCCGCTGCAGGCCTGCGGGTTTCCAGGACAGGAGGCCACGAAACAAGCCTCCCCAGCACCCCAGCCTCCTCCCTCCCTCCCCTCCCCCCAAGTAATGCGGCAGGACGGCTGCCCGCTTCAAGGAAAAGTATGTGGCTCAAGGTTCAAGAGATAAATTAAGGTTTTTGGTTCCCAAATGAAGTCTTCAATGTCACCAAGAATCTACCTTCTCATCTTCCAACCTCCCACTCTGGCTGACTTTGCTACTCGCCCAAATCCATCACCCGACACACACATCGGCAGACGGACAGACAGCGCCCCGGCCGCCTCACCAGGAAGGCCTGCGCTCACACCACACATCACATCCCAGCCTGCGGGGACCCTGGCGCCCCACTGTGCGGGCCTGAAGCGCCCGCATCCACATCCCGCTGTGGAGCGGAAGAAGAAAGAGGGCCTTTCCTGAACGAAGGGGGACGATGACGGCGAGCGCTGCGTCTCACCCCGCCCTCCCCAATGAACATGGCGACCTCACCGAAGGTGGGGAGCAAAGCTGGCTAGACAACCATGGAGCTCACAGAACAACACCCGGTACCTTCCCAGGCTGCTCATGACAGCAGAAGGAACTTGCCGCCGTGAGCTGCTGGGGTGACGGGGGGCTCTTCAAGGGTTGGGGACAGGCCCGGGAGGGGGAGCCCCTCACCGCTCCGTATTGAGGCTATTATTTTGGTTCCACTCAAGACTGGCAACTTCATAGACACGTCACAACTCTAATGTATGTTTCGGGTGGGCGGCTGACTTCACCCATCAGCAGCCAGAGGACGCGCTCCAAGTCAAAGCAACCAAGGCCTTAATGTGGAACACAGAAAACGCAGGAAGCCAATGAACGCCTCTCTCAGCCCTTTTCCTAAGTGGTGGACCCAGGTTCGGTGGAATTTAACTTGGAGCTGCTGCCGCCAACTGGAAATTTCCGCTAGACATCACAGCCTCACACAGATGAGCCGGGCGCAGCTCAGTTTTGGAGCCCGGCGTGTGGCGGGGTCCCCCGCAGCCACAGCCCGCCCCGCTGCTCCCCAGGGTGGGGAGCGGGGTTAAGGTCACTTAAATCTTCCTCATTTACAGCACTATCAGAAGGCGGCTGGCCGGCTTTCCGCAGGAGTCCCGGCAGGCATCCGGGAGAGCTGTTTCGGGTGCCCACGAGGGGCGATCCACGCGAAGTCCAGGGTAAGCGCAGCGAATGTGAGGTAGTCAACCTGACACGGAGCTCGGTGTTCCCGTGAGCACAGGCTGCGGGGTCGGGGTCCTGGAAGTTGCAGAGCAGGTTGTGAAAGGCCGTGGCTGAAATGGGGTTCAGCTACAGACCAATGAGAATTCCTCCATATCCAATGCACACCCAAGGGCAGCGGTGACACCTCAGCTGCCATGGCGCCCCAGGCCAGGAGGCTGAATATAAGCGGGTCCTGGGCGGGCTGCGTGGGCTCCAGCGGGTTGGGGGGTGGCTGGCGAGGTGGTGGTGAACGCGGGGGGCAGGAGACTGTTCCGAGTGGGGTGTCACTTGGGTGGCCGCTACTCGGCTGGTCCACGGCACACTGGCAGCGTCGCTCCCGTGGAAGGGCCTCATCCCTACCTCTATTTCTGTCTTCTACTCACTCCAAAGCTCCTCACCATTTCCTTTCAGTCCTCAGGGAAAAAGAAATGCTACGGGCAATCAACATTTCCTCTTCACGAGGGTGTTTTGCAAATAGCTTCCTTGAATTAAGAAAAAGAAAAAAAAAAAAAAGGAAAAACAAAATGCCACCCCTTAGAACGCCGGGGGGACGGGGAGGAAGCGGCAACATCTTCATCCAAACACTTTAAGGCTTTGGCTGGAAGGAGGCGGGTTGGGTAATACTGAACTGGGCCGCGCCGTCCTCAGCCGAGCCGAGCTCGCTGCAAGCCTAGGTTAGGGCCACCGCGAAGACACCGAAAGACCCTCACTCCACTCGGCCCCGCACGTGGGTTTTTACTTGCAGCAACGAGTAGATAGTGTCTCTATGTGGAAGTAAAGGAACATCGCTCTCTTGAGGTGACCTCCTCCTCCTCCTGCTGCGGCTGCGGTGGTTTCTCCTGGCTTCCGGGTGGGGTGGGGTGGTGGGAGTGGAGCGGGCCAGACCGGGCCGGGCTGGGTGGGGTGAGGAGAGGCGGGCGTCGCGCGCGGGTGTGCACAGCAGTGGAGCTGGCGCGGGCCAGCTGCGGGTCTCAGTTCAAGCCAGCGGTGCGGTGCTCTCAACCAGGCCGAAGGCTGGGTCACTTTAAAAGCCACTCAAAAAAAATTTCCATCGGATGTCATTTACGTTTCCTTCCCCTTTTATTTACTCTTAAAACTTCACGTCCCTAAATAAGATGTAGATGTGCCGCATGTGGTCATTGAGCTCCAGGTAGCACTCATTTTAAGTACCTGCTGGAAGGAGAACACGGGGAGTGAGAGCTGACAACCACGCCCCCAGCTACCCACGCCAGCCACGCGCACGCCAGCCACGCGCACGCCAGCCACGCGCACGCCAGCCACGCGCACGCCAGCCACTCGCACGCCAGCCACCCGCACGCCAGCCACCCACACGCCAGCCACCCACACGCCAGCTACTCACAGCACCTGAGGACCGGGGCGGGGCGGGGGCAGCTTCCCTCTAGCTGCGCTTCCCCGTCTAGTCTAGTCTAGTCTTAGCTGCGCTTCCCGTCTAGCTTCCCTGCCGCCAGTCTCGCTCATAAGCCTTAAAAGGCAAACCAGGGACTGGAGAAGCTATGTGACAACGTTCAAGTGTAATTTGGAGCCCTGGCCCTACCCCCAGCCCTGTCCTGAGCTCCCCATGTTCTCAGCTGCCGGCCTTCGGCAGCCCTACCCCCCCGCCCCCCCAACCAGGCCTTCATACTCCCCGCCCCTGCCGCCACCCCCATACACACAGCGTTCTTACTTCCGGCTTTCTAGGTGCTTGGCAGTGGACTGCAGGGACGGGAACTGCGTGTCGCTGTATATCTCTGGGGGTCCTTGCGGCGTTTTCCTTGTGGTGGTTAGCCGCGCCCCGGGAGGCCTATACACACCACTAGGCATCGCCGGTTCGGGGGGCTCTGGAACTGATAGGTTGCAAGAGTTTAGAGAAAACCCCCAGCCTCCGTCGCTCAGCGATTATGGGGATAAAGTAATGCTGTACAGAAGCGTCTCTAGGCCCTGTGACCCAAGAGAAGGTACTTAACCCCAGCTGCGGGGCTGGTCCTTGGAGCAGTCCTCTCGTGGGAGACAAGTCCTGGGAGACTTTGCTCCCAGACCTGGACACCAACCCAGCCCGGCCGGCGGCATGCGGCTGCACGGACACCGTGGATGAAACAAACACATACCCCACGAAGCCTGTGCCATTTTGTTTTGTCCTGTCGGTCGTGGGGCTTGAACTCTGGGCCTGGGCGCTGTCCCTCAGCTCTTCAGCTCAAGGCAAAATAACTTTTTAAAAACTGTTACCTAGGCCGGGCGCCAGCGGCTCCCGCCTGTCATCCTACCTACTCAGGAGGCTGAGAGCTGAGGATCACAGTTCAAAGCCAGTCCAGGCAGGAAAGTCCATGAGACTCTGCTCTCCAATTAACCACAAGTGGTGCTCTGGCTCAAAGTGGTAGAGCATTTATTTACGTTGAGATGAAGAGCAGGCCCAGAGTTCAAGCCCCACGAACAACAACAACAAAAGTTACAAAAGTATGTGAACTTCCAAATAAATAAATGCCTTCTGTTTAAGATTTGAGTCTAAATTTAAAGAGCCATATTCAAACCCCTCTTCCCAGGAAAGGAGGGGTGCACCCCCCGCCCCCCACCTGAACTCACCCACAACAGACTCGCGTGCTTACCTACAACTGGAGCTGGAGGCGCTTGCACGGGAGCTGTTTTATTCCAGGGCCCTGAAGACTTCTCCAGCCCTCCGCCACCGCCCCCTTCTTCCCAGCTATCCCCGGGGTCTTCTCTCTTCTCGTTATCCTCCTCCTCCTCCTTCTCACTATGAGGAAAACAAAGCCAACATCGGACTTGAACAACCCACCAAAAACCCTGAGATGTAGAGCTGAGCGCAGTGGCTCCCGCCTGTCATCCTAGCTACTCAGGAGGCTGAGACCTGAGGATTGTGGTTCAAAGCCAGCCTGGGCAGGAAAGTCCATGAGACTCTGATCCCCCATGAACCACCAGAAAACCAAAACTGGTGCTATGGCTCCAGCGGTAGAGCGCTCGCCTTGAGCTGAAGAGCTGAGGGACAGCGCCCAGGCTCAGAGTTCAAGCCCCAGGACTGACCAAAAAAACAAAAAACCCCTGAAGCGTGGCTCTGGCACAGACGTGTAACCTCGTCAAAGCCTGCGCCGGTGCTTGGAAAAAGGGAGATGGGAGCAAGAACTTTATCCACCTTGCTCCCCGGGACTCCACGGCCCCCCAACCGACTGCATATGTGATAAGGACGCCCCTACTTTTGAGGAGGTTTAAAGAACCTCCTTCACTTAACCAAAAACACCTTGTGGGGAGACAACCTCACAGCCCCAAGTTCAGGCCCCAGACCGGGCAGCCCGGGGAGAGGAGAAACGCCAAGGAAAGGGTTTGCATGCACCATGGTAAGATTTTTTTCAAGTACGAGAATGTACAAACTGTCATTTATGGCAAGTGTATTTTTAGTAAGCAAATGAAGGGTTTTGAAAGATGTAATTTTATTTGCAAAATGATAACTTTCATTCCAACAGAGGAAAGCAAGCCGAGGCCGGGGTTCCCCCAGCACTGACATTTTCCCACCCCCACCTAGCACCCCCAAATCCTCAGAGCAGCTCCCGCCAAACAGCTGTCACCTACTCAAAAATGTACAGAAGCCAAGCACCCGCCTGTCATCCTAGCTACTCAGAAAGCAGAGATCTGAGGATCACAGTTTGAAGCCAGCCTAGACAGGAAAGGTAAGTCTGAGACTCTTCCCTCGAAGCAGCCACCATACCAAAAAGCTGGAAGTAGAGCCGTAGCTCAACAGGTAGAGTGCTAGCCTTGAGCAAAAGAAAGCAGCTCAGGGCTGGGAAGGTGGCTCAGTGGTAGAGTGCTTGCCTAGCATGCAGAAAGCCCCGGGTTCGATTCCTCAGTACCAACCACATAACCAGAAAATAACCAAAGTGGCGCTGTGGCTCAAGTAGTAGAGTGCTAGCCTTGAGCAAAAGCAGCTCAGGGACAGCGCCCAGGCCCTGAGGTCAAGCCCGGGGACTGGCACAAAAACATAAACCAGTATGGCTCAAAAGATACTGAACACCTCACCCACACGTCTGCTTGCAGGCCGGGCAGCAGCTTTCTGCATGCACACCCTCTCTACTTTCCTATCTGCATATTTCAGTAGTGTCAACCCTCGATGCGGAAGCCAGCACACACACGGTGCCTATTTCTGCAGAGGATAATTGGGTTAAAGTGTTTGAACCCAGTTAGTTAATAAATAGGCAGCTTTTCACTAGCCAAACTTTTTATCACTCGCCACTGTATTAGATTCACCCCCTCAACACTTCCACCAGAGGGGCTGTGTGCGGTGAGCGGCAGGGGGCTGGTGGGCGTGTGGGAGCAGAGGCAGAGGCTCCAAAGGACTGGCTGGGGCATCAGCACCCCACCACTCACTCCAGGCGAGCGCCAAGTCGGGGGAGGGGGCGCCCTCTGCACAGCACAAGCTGGCACTCACATTTTAGGGCCTCTTCCTGTCCTACACAGCCGCAAGATCAACCCAAGCTATTCTAGTGATGAAGCTCATCTTCCTTAGGAAGCTGATCAGTCTACGAAGTAAGAAGACATTCTTGTCCCCCTAACCTCACACCAGTCACACGTGCAATCTAACTCCCCTTCCCCAACAGGCAAGCAGCTGAAGAAAGGCCTGACAACCCCGGCATCTCCCAGGCGGGGGACTGACTGGCGGCTGTGGCAGCCGGGCCCGGCTGTCCCTCTCCTCACGTGACAGTGCCGCAGGAAAATGCAGAGGTTAAAATGTCTGATGACCTTCGCATCTTAGAGCACAAGGCCCAGCACACAAGCAGTCACAAAAACCACGGCTACCGGGAAGGGAGGCTTGGATTCTGGAATCAGCTCTTGTCTTCAAAGCGAGAACTGAAGGGCTGAAGGCGGCCGCCCCACAAGCAGAACCCCCAGCCCCAGAGTTCAACTCAAAAACCAAGGGAGCACTTGCTCTAGCCAAGGGTGTGTAAAGATCTAAAATTTCTCAACAAGTTTCCTAAAAAAAAAAAAAATCTCTGGACTCCCAAGAACTCGATCCTTGCTTGAAACATGACAACTGTACATTGTGTAACTGTTTTTCCAAAGTGCATATTGGATGGGAGAGAGGCGGCCACGGGGTCTACAGGAAGCCATCGCCAGCTTGCGTGAGAACCACCTCAGCAGCTTCCCGCTCACCTCCAATACAGCAAGCAACTGAGCGCTGACACCAAACACGCCTGCTAAGCATGGCTAGCACCGAGGCATACAGAGTATGTGGGGGGCCTTCCCAAATGGACACTTAGGCTGAAAACCACCAGGGAGATCACTGTAGATCATGGGGATTCTCCAGCTACGCCACGCAGTGAAGGCGGCAGAGAAAATATGGCTACAGTAGAGAATCTGAGTGCAAAGCACACATACGGTAATACTAGGACTTCACAATTCTTACAGCTCTTCTGAGGTCTGTGACGCAAAGTTAGAAGAAAATCACTGGCTGGGTGTTGGCAGCTCATGACTATCACCCTAGCTACTCAGGAGGCTGAGATGTGGGGATTATGATTTGAAGCCAGTTCAGGCAGGAAAGTCCTAATGTATCACAGAAATATCTGGAAGTGAAGCTGTGACTCAAGTAGCAAGAGGGCTGGCTGGCCTTGAGCAAAAGCAGCTCAGGGACAGCGCCCAGGCCCAGGATCCCCTCCCATCCCCCCAAAAAGAACCACAAAACTTCAAATTACTGACTGAAAACCTGAAGACATTTGAAGTCAACTTCCTTCTCTCTTGTCCCAAAGATAAAGAATACAACAGTGGGATCGAGGCTAGCCTGGGACACACAGGGAGACTTTGTCCCCCAAAAAGGAAACCAACCAGACTAAACTGAAGAATCACCACCCCACCAAAGCCTCCTTCCCTTCTATGCACTTCTGCTCCAAAGCTTAGATGAAGCCACAAAAGGCATCCATTGGGTCCCTCCAGCAACACAACACTCACACCAAGTTTTAGTCATCCTAATGCCTAGTTGGTTTTTGTGACCATCCTAGGACTCCAACTTAGGGCCTGGGCACTGTCCCTAAGCTCTTTTTCTCAAGGCCGGTGCTCTACTACTTCAGCAATAGCTCCATGTACAGCTTTTTGGTGATTAATTGGTGATAAGAGTCCCACAGACAGCCGGGAGCTGGTTGCTCAACGCCTGTCATCCTAGCTACTCAGGAGGCTGAGATGTGAGGATCGATCTTCAAAGCCAGCCCGGGCAGGAAAGTCCTGAGACTCTTATCTCCAATGAACCACCAGAAAACCGGAAGTGGCTCTGTGGCTCAAGTGGTAGAGTGCTCGCCTTGAGCTGAAGAGCTGAGGGACAGCGCCCAGAACTAGAGTTGAAGCCCCACGACCAACAACAAAAAAAAAAAGTCCCAGACTTTCCATCCCAGGCTGGCTTTGAGCCTGGATCCTGAGATCTCAGCCTCTCCAGCAGCTAGCATGCCGGCGTGAGCCAGCAGGGGGCGGCTGGAACATGCCACTTTCCTTACCACAGCTCAGCAGCCTTTCCTCATGATAGCCAGGAGAGCCACGTGGGCCAAGTACCTCCTCTCATCCAATTCTCATTCCCAGAGACAGGAGTTCCCCACAGCTAAGTCATGCTTCATACCCATGAGAAGGAGGTGGTTAATAGTAACCAAGTACCCGTGACATCCAGCTAGAGATATCTATCCAACAACCCTGAATACAAACAACACTTAAAAGTAAAAAGACTGGGCTGGGAAGGTGGCTCAGTGGTAGAGCGCCCGCCTTGCATGCCTGAGGCCCTGGGTTCGATTCCTCAGCACCACATAAGCAAAATGAAAAAAGCTGAAAGTGGTGCTGTGGCTCAAGTGGTAGAGTGCTAGCTTTGAGCTGAAGAGCTGAGGGACAGTGCCCAGGCCCAGAGTTCAGGCCCCACAACAGGACCCCCCCCCCAAAAAAAGTAAAAAGACTTAGCCAGGTGCCGGTGGCTCACGCCTGTCATCCTAGCTACTCAGGAGGCTGAGATCTGAGGATCTCGGTTCAAAGCCAGTCCCGGCAAAAAAGACCATGAGACTTTTTTTTTGTTGGTCGTGGGGCTTGAACTCTGGGCCTGGGCCCTGTGCCTGCACAATTCAGCTCAAGGCTAGCCTCTACCACTTGAGCCACAGTGCCACTTCCCCTTTTCTAGTGGTGTATTGGAAATAAGAGTCACGGGCTTTCCTGCCTGGCGCTGGCTTTGAACTGTGATCCTCAGATCTCAGCCTCCTGAGTAGCTAGGATAACAGGTGTGAGCCACCGGCGCCCCACCTGTGAGACTCTTATTTACAAATAAAACCAGCAGAAAAAGCTGGAAGCGGCTCTGTGGCTCCAGTGGTAAAGCACTCACCTTGAGCTAAAGAGCTGAGGGACAGGGGCTGGGAAGGTGGCTCGGTGGTAGAGTGCTTGCCTTGCATGCATGAGGCCCTGGGTTCAATTCCTCAGCACCACATAAGCAGAAAAAGCTGGAAGTGGCGCTGTGGCTCAAGTGGTAGAGCGCTAGCCTTGAGCTGAAGAGCTGAGGGACAGCGCCCAGGCCCAGAGTTCAAGCCTCATGACTGACAAAGAAAGAGAGAAAAGAGAAAGAAAGGAAGGAAGGAGGTAGAAAAATGGACTGGGAGCTTGCTTGCCTTGCAAGCTTGAGGCCCGAGTTCAATGGCCAATACTATATACTGCCAAACACGCAGACTGACCTGCTGCCCAAAGTCAATCAAACGTGAAGCTGTGGACGCAAAATGCAAACCACTTGTCTTTCCTGAAAGCCCACATTTTTGCTAAATAATCAACTCTACCCATTATGTAACCTACCTGCTTACCGCTTACCTATGAACTAACAATTCTCTCTGAGACTCCGGCCATGTTGGTTTTTGTGGCAGGGCAGTGCTGGGGACAGAGCCCAGGCTTGGCACGTGGTGCACAATGTTCCACCCATCAATGACACCCCCAACCTACTGTCTTCTTTTTTTTTGTCAGTCATAGGATTTGAACTCAGGGCCTGGGCACTGTCCCTAAGCTTATTTTGCTCAGCACCACTTCTGGCTTTTTCTGCATGTGTGGTACTGAGGAATTGAAACCAGGGTCTCGTGCAAGCCACTCTACCACTAAGCCATATTCCCAGCCTTGTCACCTTTCTCAATAAAGGGAAGACCGCAAGTCTGAGGCTTTTCTGCTCCACCTATCAAGTTCAAGGACTGGACAATTGAAGCAGGACTATCTCAAATTAAAAGAGGCTAGGAACAGATGGCCAGGGGCTCATGCCTGTAATCCTAGCTACTCAGGAGGTTGAGACCTGAGGATCATGGTTCAAAGCCACACAGTGCATAAAAGTCCATGAGACTCGTATCTCCAATGAACCACAAGAAAACCAGAAGTGGTGCTGTGGCTCAAGTGGTAGAACGCTCGCCTTGAGCTGAAGAACAGCGCCCAGGCCTAGAGATCAAGCCCCATAACTGACCAAAAATAAAAATAAAAGGCTACGGATGTGGCTCATTTGTCTGGCCTACAGGCCCTGTCTGGGGGGAGGGGAGGGTTTCAATCCCCAGGACCAAACAAAGTGACAGTTGAGGTCACTATTAAAAACCTGAGATGGTTTCTCTCTCAATCCTTTCTAGAAGCTATTCAGAAGGGGTGATGGAACTACAGACTCCAGATTCCACCATGTAAGGACCCACAAAAAGTTTCCTAAATAAGGAATGTTCCACATGTGAGCAGGTCGGGTGGGGAGAGCTCAGGGGAAGCACTTGCCTAGCAAGGGCAAGACCCTGAGCTCCATCCTTGGCTCTGAAAAAAAAAAAAAAACTAAACTAAACTAAAAAGACCAACTGAGGTCAGTGGAAAATGTCCACAATGGCCACCCAGGGGCTCCAACATAAAGGCGAGTCTACTTTAGGTCAAACAGAACACTTGTACTCAAATACTCAGACCAACCGAGATTTCCTCATCCCCCTTAGCAAAAGTTCAACACTTTACCATCTGGAGTACTTCAAAGTACAAGGGGATCCCTTGAATCCCAAGAGTTCCCCTCTCTTAGAAGGAGATTAAAAGTCAGGGCTGAGGGAGGAGCTGGGTGGTGGAGCGTTCACTTAGCCATGTTCCAGCCCTGGGTTTGCTCCACGGCACTGAGGGCAAAATAAGGCCACAAATCAGCTATGCATGGCGCTGCCTGCCCATGTAACCCAGCACTTAGGAGGGCGAAGAAAAGATCAGACTGCTTGAAGTCATCCTGGGCTACACACTGAGATCTGGTCTCAGAGCCAACAATCAGAATAAAATCAATGGTCAGGCGTGCGGAGTCTGAAAGTCCTTCACAGGCCAATACCATCCTTCCTATCCACCACTGAGCTCTCAAAGTCCAGGCCGTGAAAGTCCAACTTTACCACCAACGGCCACACGCTCACACAGCCACACCAGCGTCATGACAGGAGCCTCACAATCCGCACCCCCGCCAGTTGTTACAGGCCAAGCCCCAGGAGAAATTAAACTAGAACAGATATGACACCTTTTCAAAAGCAGCTAACACAAAGGAAACCAACAAGTGGCTGGGAAATCAACAGTATTAACAAGAACACTGAGTGAAAAGGCACTTCCTGAAAGCTTCCCATTACAAACAGGTGGTTTCATCCTGGTAAGCTCACAAAATGACAGTCAAGAACCTAAGGGCCTGGCCGTGGGAGGTATTAAATATACTTAATCTCTGAAGTCCAGTGTGGTGGTGCATGCCTGTAACCCCAGCCATCCAAGAGACTGAGAAAGGAGGATGGTGAGTTTGAAACTATCTCAGAAGAAAAAAGAAAAACCTCTGGTTCTTCACTAAAAGTTATTCCGAACTATAAATGGTATTGAGGTCAAAGGACAGTTTTCAGTTAAGGGAAGTATTTTTCCTTCAGCTGAATTTCTGGCTGAATTTCAAAGACAGGAGCTTACTGAGATCTTATTTCTTTAAACTGGAAGTCAAGAATTTCATTTTTGGTTGGTTGTGGGGCTTGAACTCATGAGCCTGGGTGCAGTCCCTGAGCTTCTGTGTGCTCACGGCTAGGGCTCTACCACTTGAGACATAGTGCCACTTCCAGTTTTTGAAGGTAATTGAAGGTAAAGATCTCTTTTCTGCCATGGCTGGCTTTGAACCATGATCCTCAGATCTCAGCCTCCTGAGAGCTAAGATGACAGGCGTGAGCCACTGGTGCCCAGCAAGAACTTTTTTTTTTTTGGGGGGGGGGGTCCGGTTGTAGGGCCTGAACTCTGGACCTACATGCTGTTCCTCAGCTCTTCAGCTCAAGGCTAGCGCTTTACAGCTTGAGCCACAGCACCACTTTCGGCTTTTTTCTTCTTGCTTATGTGGTACTGAGGAATCGAACCCAGGGCCTCAGGCATGCAAGGCAAGTGCTCTACCAATGAGCCACCTTCCCAGCCCCCAGCAAGAACTTTTTTTACCTTAAGGTAACAGACTATTTTCACCTCCTACCCAAATTACAAGCCCCTCAAAATACGTCTGGGTTTTTCAGACAAGGGATATTGTTACATCCCAGGCTGGCCTGTAACCTCTCAGCATTCGCCTGCCTTCTGCTGCTGAGATTGCAGGTGTGTCGAACCATTCCTGCCTTTACTTTCCATATTCAACAAAGAACGAATGACTCCCATCTTGTTAAAACACATTAATTTCAAAGTCTTAAAACCAACCAGTTCAAAATATTTTTCTTGTTTCTTTGCTGGTCCTGAGCTTGAACTCAGCGCCTGGGAGCCTCTTAGTGCACAAAGCCAGCACTATCACTCGAGCCACAGTGCCACTTCTGGCTCTTTTGAGTAGTTTATTGGCGCTTTTCTGCCCTGGCTAGCTTGAAATGGCGATCCCCGACCTCAGCCTCCTAAGTAAGCTATAGGATTACAGGTATCAGCACTGGCGCCCTGCTCCAATCCAACTTTTGAAATCCATTTCCTTTAACTTTAAAAGCAGCTGTGGAAGACTTTATGGTTCTATTCCTATGAAGTTCCAAAGAAATATAATCTATGGTCAGGTTAGTGGTCAAAATCCTTGGAGGTGAAGGTAGTGAATAAAAAAATGTCTTTCATGGGCTGGAAGGTGGCTCAGTGGTAGAGCGCTTGCCTTGCATGCATGAGGCCCTGGGTTCGATTCCTCAGCACCACATAAGCAGAAAAGAAAAAAGCCGGAAGTGGCGCTGTGGCTCAAGTGGTAGAGCGCTAGCCTTGAGCTGAAGAGCTGAGGGACAGCGCCCAGGCTGAGTTCAGACCCCACGACCAAACCCCCCCCCCAAAAAAAGTCTTTCTCTGCCAAGTACCTAGGCTTCAATTACAAATTAATTTGCTTACTGGAGAGAACCTGAAAAATATCCACACTATTTTTTAACCTCCCCTTGCCAAAGACACACACACACACACACACACACCACACACACACACACCACACACCACACACACACACACCACACACACACACACAGTGCCAAAAAGCTAAGTTCAACCACCAGTATTAAAATTTAACAATGGAGCTGCAAAGCCCAGCTCTGGTGGCTTCACGCCTTTAATCCTATGGACTCAAGAGGCTGAGATCCTGAGGATCTCGGTGTAAAGCCAGCCTGGGCAGTAAACTCCTTGAGACTCACCTCCCATTAGTCACAAAAAGCCGGAAGTGAAGCTGAGGCTCAAATGATAGGATTCTGGCCTTGAGCGCAAAAGCTCAGGGATGCCCCTCCCCTTCCTCAGGCCCAGAGTTCAAGCCCCAATACCAGCCCCCAAAAAATGTCATTGGAGGAATAACTTATTACTACAGTGACTGTCTATCGAGCATGAAGCCCGAGTTCAAAGCCCCTGGTGCCGCCCCCCCCACCCCCCCAAAAAAAATTAAAAATGACAAAGTCCATTCTCTTGGTCTCAAATTTAAAAAAAAAAACCTAACCAAGCAGAGGTGAAAGGAGGTGAGCTCTCGGAGAATTCCTGAGCTGGCAACTCATTTCAAGTGCATATAGAAGAGCTGACTTCATGGAGGGGCAGCAGCCAAACCATTGCAGCCCTAGTAAGCACATGGAAGTTGAAAGACTACCAGGATTCTGCTTTGGATTTTTTTTAAGGGGGGTGGGGGAAGGCGGAGGATTTAGCTCAGTGGAAGAGCACTTTGCATGGCCAAGTGCAAGGCCCTGAGTTCAGTCTTCACCTCTGTCAAAAAAAGGGGGGAGGAGGAGAGGTGGAAAGAAAGGAAGCCAAACTTGGGCCCAATACCCTCCTTTTTTTGGGGGGGAGGGTCAGTCCTGAGACCTGAACTCTGGGCCTGGGCTCTGTCCCTCAGCTCTTCAGCTCAAGGTTAGCGCTCTACCACTTGAACCACAGCGCCACTTCTGGCTTTTTTCTGCTCATGTGGTGCTGAGGAATCGAACCCAGGGCCTCATGCATGCAAGGCAAGCGCTCTACCACTGATCACCTTCCCAGCCCCCAATACCCTATCTTAAAACAAGGTTGTTTATAGCTCCATACTGACCTTATCTGCATTGCCTGGACTCGTAGTCCGCTGTAATCAACCTCTTTCTGCTCAAATTCCTTCCACTCATCTTCATCCTGAGGAGAAGAGAAGGGGGGAAAAAAATAAAAGACCATTAGATCAAGGAAAGCACTTTGGAAGCAAATGGCGAAGCAGATCTATTTGGGGGAGGGGGGAAGAGTGGGGAAGGACGGGGTCGGGAGGCTAAGAATCTGCAATCTTAAGCTAACTTAAGTGAAATCAAACAATCATCCAGCCTCTCTGCTGGGGGGGGAGGCAGGGAAGAGATAAAACCACCAGGAAAGCTTGTACGGCCGGCCGACTTCCAACGCCCCCCCCAACTCTTCGGAAAAAGTCGGAAATGAGGAAATTTGACCATTTAAAAAAAAAAAAAAAGGAACAATCCTGCCAGTTCAAAATGTTTCCAGAGGCTCGAGATGGCAGAAACCTTTTATTAATTTGCCTTCGACGGGTTGAATGAAGAAATCCAGAGCCCCCCCCCATAAATGCCCGGATTGAAGTATTCATTAGTAATCTTAATCATCATCATCATCATGAATCTGGGGCTCCCAGCACCGCCGAGGGGTGGGGGGTCGGGACCCTGGGGGTGCCTCCCCCTCCCTCCCCTCCCC